CGACCGCACCACCCACCACTGCGCCCCGCACTCGTCAACCCGCCGCCGCCCAGCCTCCTCCTGTCGTCCCGCGCAACCCCGACCTGCAGCACGTCGCCCGCACCGTCCTCAAGGCAAAGCGCATCGCCGTCGTATGCGGTACGTCCCTCTTCTCTCTCCTACCCATGCCCTCGACACGAGCCTCACCCCTCGACCCACCAGGCGCCGGCATCTCGACCGCAACCGGCATCCCCGACTTTCGCTCGGGCGCAGGCCTGTTCGAGTCGCTCAAGAAGCAGTACCCCGATGCTCGTCTCTCGAGCGGCAAGGACCTCTTTGACGTCGGCCTCTTCCAGGTGCGTCCTCGCTCTCCCTCTGCCCCCTCGCTCGCCCTCGGCTCGCCATTGTTGACTGACTTTGGCCCCTTGTCCCCGTCACCCTACCCAGTCCGAGCAGACGGCATCCATCTTCTACAACATGATCGCGGCCCTCCACAAGCAGGCCGATGGCGTCGCCCCGACCGCGTTCCACTCGTGGCTCAAACAGCTCGACAACGACGGCAAGCTGTTCCGCGTCTACACCCAGTGCGTCGCGCTCGCTCTCCTCGCCCCCCCCTCTCTCTCTGCAGAACAACCCACTGACATAGCCCGGAGCCACCCTGCAGGAACATCGACGCGCTCGAGGAAAAGGCGGGCTTGACCTACGGCCTCGGCGACAAGACGCTCCCGCTCCCGCCTCGTCGCCGCACCGCCGCACCGCGCTCGCCGTCCAAGTCGAGCACGACCGCGACGAGCGCCCACGCGAGCGGCAGCACGACGCCGCTGCCCGCCGCCTCGGCGTCGTCGGCCCTCGGCCCGACCTCGTCCCAGATGTCGCTCGCGTCGTCGACGGCGAGCACGGCCTCGACGTCGTACCCGACGCCGCGCTCGTCCCAGTCGCCGCCGCCGACCCACTCGACCATCCCGCGGTGCATCCCGCTCCACGGCCACCTGTCGACCCTCTCGTGCTCGTTCTGCAAGCTCGTGACCCCGACCGCGGCGTACCTCGACCTCCTCAGCTCGGGCACGGCCCCCTTGTGCCCGGCGTGCCTCGCCAAGGAGGCCCTGCGCTCGGCCGCCGGCGAGCGCGCGCGCGGCGTCGGCGTCCTCAGGCCCGACGTCGTCCTGTACGGCGAGGAGCACAAGGACGGCGAGCGCGTCGGCGAGATCACGCAGCGCGACCTCATGGGCCAGCGGCCCGACTTGCTCCTCGTCGTCGGCACGACGCTCAAGGTCAAGGGCACAAAGCGCCTCGTGCGCGAGCTCGCAAAGGTCATCAAGCCCGTCTCGGCGTCGTCGACCGCCTCGTCCTCGTCGTCGACCTCGGCGCCCACGACGACGACGACGACCTCGTCGTCGACCAAGCAGGCGCCCGTGCACACGATCTACCTCAACGCCGAGTTCCCCTCGCCCGCGCGTGAGTGGGCCGACGTGTTTGACGTGTGGTGCCGCGGTGACATCCAGGAGTTTGTCGCCGCGCTCGCGCGCGAGGCGGGTCGGGTCGAGAGCGAGGCGAGGGAGCGGGACGAGAGGAGGAGGGCCCGGGTCGAGAAGGCGCAGGGGAGGAAGAGGGCGGCCGAGGAGGCGGCAGCGGCCGGTGGGGCGGGCGCGAGCGCCGCGACGAGCGCCAAGGTCGGCAGCGCAGCGGCACTGACGGCGGCCCCGAGCCCGATCAAGGCGGCGCGCCCGCCGCCACTCGACCGGTCGCACCTCCCGACCGTCCGCAGCCCGACCAAGGCGGCCCTCGGGTCCGCCGCCGCCGCCGGCGCGCTCCCGCTCCTCCTCCCGCGCCCGTCCGCCCTCCCGCTCCTCCCGCTCGAGAACGCGCCCGAGCCGAGCCGGGCTCGCGTCCGCACGCGCGCCGTCACGCCGCCCGCTTCGCCTGCGTCGGCCTCGGCGTCGGCGTCGGCGTCAGCGGCGGCGCATCACGCCGGCGCGTACTCGCTCGTGGCGGCGTCCACCGGCGCGACGGCCGGCGCGCCGCCCGCCAAGCGTCCTCGCACGCGCGCGTCGCCTCCTGCGCCCGCCACGAGCGCGAGCGCGCCGCGCCCGCAGCCGTTCGCGCTCGAGCTGTCGCCGCCGCCGCGCCCGGGCTCGGCTTCGGGATCGAGCTCGCGCTCGTCGGCGACGAGGTCGTCGTCGACGGCGGCGGCGCCGGTCAGCTCAAGCGCGACGCCGGCCTTCCCGTACAGCCTCCCGGCGCTGCCGCCGCTCTCGTCGGCGCCGTCGCAGGCCAAGCCGACTCGTGGCGAGGCCCTCGTGCGCTCGGCGCCGCTCGTCGACGGCGCGGGCAAGCTCCTCCTTGTCCGCTCGGCGTCGAGCTCGAGCCTGTCGAGCGTCGCGTCGTCGCACGGCCTCGGCGGCGACGACGACATGGACGACGAGCGCGCCGACAGCCTGACGGCGCACGACATTGCCGTCGTCGTCGCCGACTCGGCCGAGGAGGACTCGGCGGCGTCGCCTGCGCCGGGCTCGTCGCAGCGCAAGCGTGGGCGCCCGACCGTCAAGCGCTCGGGCACCTCGACGTCCGCCTCGACCTCGATGTCGACGTCGACGTCGAACAGCACGGCCTCGAGCCGCAAGAGCAAGCGCTCGAGCACGACGAGCCCGGGCGCGAGCGCGACCACGTCGCGCCGCACGACGCGCTCGTCGCCGCACGGCGTCGGGGTCCGTGCGCGCCGCTCGTCGCGCGCCTCGACGGCGAGCGCGACACAGAGCTCGCTCGACGCTGCCGCGACGAGGCGCACGAGCCCGGGTGCGAGCACGAGCGCGAGCGCGGCGGCGGCCAAGCCCGTCGTGCTCAAGAGCGTGGCCAAGGGCAAGGGCGCCAAGGCGCACGAGCAGGAGCACGTGCAGGCGCAGACGAGGCTCGCGTTCGAGGTGACGAAGAAGCGGGTCGGGGACGTGACGGGGACGAAGCGGCGCTGAGGAGGGGCCGAGGGAGCGAGCGCGCGAGGAGGACGACGGGCGATGGGAGGGAAGGAGAGGAGCGCTTGCAGAGGACGCTTGTACTGCTTGATGTGAATCGATGTGAGCTGCATACCCTTTTCATCGGCCGGCTCTCGCCTCGTCGAGATGCTCTCTGCTCCCGCGAGGACTTTGCGAGAGGCCTGAACGCGAGCGTGCGCAGACTGTCGCTCTCAAGCTCTGTGAACGATGGACAGCTCGCTTGCCTCGTGCGGCGGACAGCTCGCTAGCCGGGTGAGCGCACACGGGCTGCAGGCTCGAAGCTGTAGCGCAGCTCGGCGGCGAGAGGAGCTAGAGGAGCGAAAGCGCGAGCAAAGCCTCGACTTGGGAAGGCCACGTGGCACGAGGTCGTCTCTCTCGGCCCGACACCTCGTCGAGGTACGCTCGTAGTATTCTCAACAGCTAGAAATGTACACAAAGATTGGACGAGAGACTCTGAGCCCACATGAGAGGCACGCCGACTGACGACCGGCGACGAGAAAGTGCGTCGAAATCTTGCCGGCGCAGTGGGCGAGACGAGACGGCGAAAGTTCGGGTGAGCCTGCGAAGACGCAGGAGGATCGATGACGACGAAGGAGGTGAAGAGGAGGAGGATCGACGAGGTTGGGGAAGGAGAGGAGGAGGAGGACGAGGGAGGGAACGAGGGTCAGCACTCGATCAGGAGCGCTGAGTACGCCGCTGCTCGTCCTTGTCGGTCCTTGTGCTTGTGTGCATGATGTGCATGATGTGCTTGTGGAACTGCTTGGTAACGCCCTGCTTGATGACCTCGTTCAGAATGCCCTTGACCTCGACGCCTTAACCTCGGCGCCTTGACCTCCTCGACGACGACGCCTTGACCTCGACCCGACCAACGACGACGACGACGACGGCGACGGCGAAGATAAAGATAATAACGAGGTAGAACGATGTAAAGTTGCTAAAGTCCGAACACGATCCCGCTCGTCGAAGAAGATCTCGCTCGGCGCAAGAGCTCGTAAAGCTTCTCGCCCTGCTGCTCCATCTGGATGTCCTGCCGAGTATAATGCGCGCGCCCACCCAAACTCGGGACGTAGAACATCGTAGATCTGGTAGAATGAGAACCGCCCGGACGAGCCGACGACGCACCGGTTAAGTGGCCTCGAGAAGCACGAGTGCTGCACGACGAGGAGGACGGCGTGAGCCTGCGTCCTGCGCGAGGATAAGGATGAAGAGATATCGAGACGCACCGAAGCAGGAATCTTGTCGAACGCGAACCGGGGCGAGCGAGACTTGACGACGTGGCCGAGAGCGGATCTGCGAGCGGGTCCGGGCGACGCAGAACAAGGTCAGCGCTCGATCAAGGAAACGCTGAGTGCTCCATCATGCTCTTGTCCTGCGACCCGCGCCACTCTCCTCCCGGGGCGAGTGCGTCCGGTCACGGCAGAGCGTCAAAACACCTCCTTGAGCCGGGCGAGCGCGGACGAGACGACGCCCGACGGACCGGTGCAGCTATCTCGCAAGCGCCTGCCAGAGGAGGCGTATCCCGTGAGGGCACGGTGAGCCCGCCGTGAGAAGTTGCGACAGGCGGATTCCCGGCGAGGCAGGCCGAGTTCGGATCAGGCCCGAGCGAGACGACGCACAGGGCAAAGGCGGCTGTATGGACGAGGTAGGTCGAGGTTGCGGCACTGCGGACGGCTGTGGGCCCGAGAGAGGTCAGGCACGCCTCCCTGAGGCGGAGAAAAGAGGAGCGCGAGACGGACCTTGGCTGCGCTCAGTGCTCGACCTGCAGAAACGGTGCGAGTCAGCTCCTGGATGGTCTCGCAGGCACGAGGGAGAGTTGGACGCACCAGGCGAGCGGACCACAGGCGTCCTGCGGTGATGCCGAGCGAGGGCGAAATGACTGCGTGTCGAGCGGCCTGAGCGAACGAGGGGAAGGGGCACGAGTCAGTTCTCCTGCCGCTAGGGAGGAGTACAGAGGGTGTTGACGCACCATAGAAGAGCTTGGAGGCTTGTCAGGCTCTTGGGCGAGGCTCAGGCGGTGTTGGCGAGGAGGACGAGGTGGGAGCCTGGCGACTAGGCGGCGGGGGCGAGCCGAGTGGGCGAGGGCGGTGCTGGCGGTGGGGGTGGGAGGCCGCGCTCCAGCTGTGGCAGCAAGGCTGGTGGTGCTTGCGGCAAGGCCATGGCGAGTTGTGGGTGGGGGGAAGAGGGCAGAGCAGGAGGAGGAGGAGAGCAGGAGGCGAGCCACCTCTCACGCACTTCGGGCGGGGCCAGGGCCTGCTCAGACCGAGTACAGTAGCGTCTTGGATCGTAGACACGGGCGCAGCTCTCGCTCTCGAGGTCCAGTCGTGGCCACAGCACTCGGGACTGATGAGAACGGAGAACAGCACCCACGCGCAACGAGAGGGGCCTGGACTGGCTGCGCCGGGGTTCGCCATGCTTGCTGCGGCTGGTAGCAGCAGTCTGACCCTCTGGTTCGCGCGAGAGCCGCGCGAGGCGAGAGCGACCGCGAGCACCGCCTCTTCCCCGACAACCATGCTCGCACGGCCACTCGCAGCCCTCGTGCTGCTCTGTGCCGCCACTGCACGCGCACTAGCAGCGCCAACAAGCCCGCCACAACCCGAGTCGTACCGCGAGTCGCTGCGGCTCACCTCGTTCCCCGACGGCAAGGTCCTCTCCGACTTCACCTTCACCCTCGACGGGCCCTGGCACGAGCGCGGCAACGAGGTCGCCCTCAACACAGTCGGTGCGTCCTCCTCTCCCTCCCAGCCTCGCACGAGCCAACGTCGCTGACACTCCTCCCCCCACAGCCCACCACCACACGCTCCTCCCGAGGCTCCTCACCTCGCTCATCCGCCAGCACCGCGTCGCCTCGTTCCACCTCACCCTCTCGTCCGGCCGCTGGCTCCCGACGTGGCCGATCCACCTCCCCGCCGAGCTCCCGGCGTCCGGCATCGAGCTCACCGCCTGGCTCGAGGTCCTCGAGGGCGAGTCGGACGGCGACGAGCGCAAGCGGTGGCAGGCCTTCACGAGCGCCGTGAGCGGGCTCTTCTGCGCGGGCGTCGTGGCAGACGGCGTCGAGACGAGCACGACCAGCCCGACCTGGGCGGTCCCGTTCGAGGGTCCAGGAGACGCAGCCGGTGCGCCCACTTTCCCTACCCCTCTTGACGACGTCTTGAGCCGACACCTTCCCTACACAGAGCACCGCCTGTACCGCCTCAGCATGCCCCGACTCGCCGCCGCCTGCACCGAATCCCTCACCCCTTTCCTCTCCCTCCTTCCCTGCGCCTCGCACGCCGGCCTCAGCTCGTTCCTCAACCCGCATCGCCTCTTCGACGGCGAGTGGACCCTCATCGGCATCCAGTTCGCCAAGGACGACGAGCACGAGACGGCGCGCCTTGCGCTCGAGGTTGGCAGCGTGCAGGACCCGGTCAGGAGGGACCGGCTGACGGGGCAGATGGGCCGACGAGGTGCGCCCGCTCGTTTCCCAATCTTCCCTTCCCTGCGTACCACACACTGATCCCGCTCTTCTGTCCCGCAGAGTTCTCCCTCAAGAGCCTGTACGACCGCGCCCTGTCGACCTCGTGCCCGGTCGCCAACGCCTCGACCATCGAGCTCGTCGTCCCGACCCACTCAACCAACCCGTTCTCGATCGAGCCAGACCGTGCTCGAGTGCTCAAGAACGTCGACGGCCGCGACGTGGCCATCTGGGACGTGCAGCAAGGTGCGCCCCTCGCTCCTCGACCTCTCTCGATTCGGCCTCTCGCGCACAACGACTGACTTGCTCTGCCCGCAGCTCTCGAAACGGCGCAACTCGACGTGAGCTTGACGTGGCCCGGCGAGAACGTGTTCCAGCACCGTGCGTCCCGTCTCTCTTGCGCCCCTCGAACCTCGTTTTCATACTCACCCTCGCAATTGTCGTCGCAGCACTGCGCTCCAAGCTCCCCGTCCCGCCGCTCACAGTGCGGCGCATCACGCACGCTGTCGGCGTTGAGCGAGGGCGTATCGGCGTCGAGGTCGTCAACAACCTCGAGGACGAGGCCGAGGTCGTGTGGGGCGAGAGCTGGCCATGGTGGCTGCGAGGGTACCTCAGCACGCTCGAGGCGACGCTCAACGGTACCACGTCGACCGGTGCGTCTCCCTCTCCCTGCCCCTCTCGCTCTCGCTACGATTCGCTCATGCCCTCGCCCTCTCGCGCGCACAGACCTCGTCGCCGACCTCGACTACACGCCCTCGATCGCCCGCAAGCGGCCGACCTCGCTCCAGGCGCTCCTGAGCATCCCGCCACGCACGACGGCGCGCCTCCTCCTCGCGTACGAGACGGCGAGCCTGTGGTACACCGAGTACCCCTCGGACGCCAACCGCGGCTTCTCCGTTCCCGGCGCCTCCCTCACGCTCCTCTCGCCTCCTCCGCCGCCGTCGCACGACACGCCATCTTCGTCAGCTCTGCAAATCGGCGACGACGGCTTCCTCGCACTGCGCCCGCCGCGCCTGCGCCTCACTACGCCGACGACGCTCGTCAGCCTCCCGACGCCCGACTTCTCGATGCCGTACAACGTCATCATCCTCACGAGTACCGTCATTGCGCTCTACTTTGGCAGCGTCCTCAACGGCATGGTGCGCAGGTGGTGGGTCGTCGACGTCGCGCCGGCAGGGGAGGACAAGGTCAAGGACGAGTAGAACTCGCGACGAGGCAGGAGGGAAACACAGCTGTATCTCGCAGTCTCTCTTGTACTCTCTCTCTCTTCTCGTCCATGCAGCGAGATTTGAGAGTGACGAGAGCGCGAGGCAAACCATCTCTCGGCGAGGACGCTCGAGCCTCTCTCGCTTTTCGCTCTCGCTCGAGCTTCTCTGAGCATCTCGACCTCGTTGCAATACCAGCACCACCCTCTCGCCGCTCAACCTCTCACCGCATGTCGACGCACTCGAACGGCGCATCGTCGTCGACTTGGCAGTGCCCGCCGTCCTCGTCGACGTCCGTGTAGAGCGGAAGGGGCGGGCTGTGCGCGAGGGGAGGGGGCAGGACAGTGTAAGTGCTCGACTCGTCCGACGCTCGAGGCACAGAGGGAGAAGGAGTCCGAGAGAGATTGAGGAGGAAGAGAGAGAGAGAGAGAGAGAAAGATAAGCTCACTGAGGATGGAAAGCGCCTCCCTCGCCGCACGCCGCGACAGCGCCCATGCCCGGCGGGTCCGTGATGCGGAACACGCCGCACTGCGGCTCATCGTCAGAGGCACTCGGCGCGCACACGACGGCGATGGCCTCGCGGAGGAGGAGCTGGAACCCGAGGTGCGTGTGCAGGTCGAGCGACGAGAGGAAGATGGACTGGGTCGGGTGCGTGTGGATCTGCGAGTCGGGACGAGAGGAGAGGCGAAGTTCGTGGTCAGAGCTGGATGAGGTGAGGAAGGGAAGAGAATTCGAGGACGCACCCAGCCGAGCGTCATGAGACCTCGCTCCTCCTGGAACGCGAACGTTTCCTCGTCGTTGGTCGCCGTACACGTGTCGGGCGTACCCGCCTGCTTCGGGACGAGCAAATGCGACACGACAAGCCTGTCGTCCTTCTGCTGCGGCAGGGAGCCTCATGAGCGCCTCCTTGGTAGAGTCTTGAGAAGGAAAGAGGGAGAAGGGGACGTGCCTGCGTCCCGAGGAGCAAGCCGCACGTCTCGATGTTGAGCGCGGTGTTGTGCGCCGCGACGACGTTCATGAAGTGCGAGATCAGCCGCGAGGGAAGAACGACAGGTCGCAGAACGACGCCGGCCTCGTTGCGAGCTGCGGGAGGAACGTTCGAGGCGCCGTAAGTCTCAATCGACGACATGCGCAGCTCGTGTCGGACGAATGGCGCACGGCACGAACACATTGACGCGAAAGCGAGACTCACCGACAGGCCCTGCGACGTCGCTCGGTCCTCCTGCCCCTCGTCCCGCTCGAGCCCCGTCCTGCTCGTCCCGCATCGCCAACGCCGCAAAGCTCTGCCCGAGCGCGTGCACACCGCCGTGACCGCCACCGAAGGACGACGCCGGAGCCGGAGAAGGAGACGAGGGCGCAGGCGAGGGCGCTGAGGGCGCTGGCCGGCCGACGAGGCTGTCGTGCTTGAGAAGGCCGAACGGCTCGGGCGTCGGCGTCGTCGCCGGTGGAGCTGAGGGGCCTGGCGGAGGCGCACGAGAAGACGAAAGAGGTGCCGAGGGCGGGAGAGGGGCGACGGGCGCGATGGGCGGGACGAGGTGAGGAGGAAAGGAGGAAGGTGGGAAGGGTGGTGGGCCGAGCGAGGCAGGTCCCGGCGGCGGCGGCGGGTACGAGTGTAGGTACTGATGAGGGACGGCGTGATGGCGAATCTGGCCCGTCCGCCGGGGCGGGTTGGGCGGCGGCGGCGGTGCGGCCTGGGAAGGGGCACGTGCGGTGGACTCGGCGGACGAGCCCACCCCCGACGGGTCGACTGGCCAGCTCGGCCTCGCGTACGAGCCAAACGGTGCCCCCGCGAGAGGAGGCGGCCGCCACGCCGCAGCTTGCGCTCCTGCGGGCGCCCAGGGCGCGCCGACGACCTCGCCTCGCGGCGCGAGGCCCGCGTCTCCTGCGACGTCGTCCTCGTCCGAGCTACCGCCGTCGCCGGGGAGCGGCATCGGGGCACTCGGCTGCTGCGCCGCCGCCTCGTAGCGCCTCGGCGGCGCGTGCCACCCGTTCGACGCCGGCGACGCCGGCACCCGCTCGACCGCCTCACCGAGCTTGGGGATGCGCCGCCCGTCTCCTCGCGGGACGAGCTCGCCCGCACTCGTCGGCTCGAGCGCCGCCGCACCTCCTGCCCCGTCGTCGCCCTCGTCCCCTGCGCCAGGCTCGGGGAGCGCACCCTGCGCCGCCTGCCCGCTCGCCGCACCGCTCGCTCCCGAGCCCGAGTGCGAGTGCGCCCGGCTGAAGGCAGCCCGAAGCCGGTTGGCCCTCGGCGGCGCCGGATCGTGCGTCTGCGGGCCTGAGCGGCGCGGGTGCGCGCCGGGCGCAGGCGGCGGGTCGTGCGAGGGCCCGGGGCCGTCGCGGTAGACGGTGGCGGCGGTCGTGACGGTGTTGCGGAGAGTGAGGGCGGGAGAATGAGAAGGCAGGTGAGGAGAGGAGGTCGGGGTCGGGGTCGTGGCGCGGGAGGAAGAGGCGGATGAGCGGGAGGCGTAGAACGAGGTGGTGCGCGCGATGAGGTGGTTCATTAGAGCGGCGTGGGCGGTCGAAGCGGTGGTGATGTGCTGTGCGCAAGGCGATGAAGGAGAATCAGCTTCGTGGGCTAGTTGCGACGAGCCGTCGAGCCGAACGCGAGGAAGGTCTGGCGCACCTGTCGCAAGAACTCGAGCTGCGCGCCCGTCAACGAGCGCCAGTCGGGGTGATGGTACGGCAGGACCTCCGTGAGCAGCTTGAGGACGGTGGCGGCCCGGACAAAGGCCATCTGCGAGTGCGCGAGGAAGGTCAACGACGGAAAGGCGGACGAGGGGAAGGTGACGGTGGGCGCACGTCGTAGTTGCCCTCGTTGCGGTACACCTCGCTCCTGTGGATAGGGTACGCTGTGAGCTCGGCTCAGGTCGAGAAGGAGGGAAAGGGAAGAGGACGCACTCAGTCGAGAGCTTGCGGAGGCCGTCGAGCCACAGGTGGAGCGGGAGCTTGGTGTCCCAGCTGCTCGCGACGATCTCGTCTGCAAGGTCGGCGAGCTGCGCGTAGGAGCGCGGCGGCTCTGCTGCAGTCGCGCCGGTGGCTGTCGGCCTGCTCGTGGTCGGACGAGGAGCCGGGGCGGCGGCGGGCGGCGGTGCAGGAACCGGCTGGGCGAGGGCAGCGGGTGCCCTGCGCTTGCGGAACAGGGCTGGGGCCATGTCGCGCAGCCTCGAGAGCAGACTCGGCGTGCGGCTGGAAGCGAGCAAGATGAGCGAGCGGCGGGCCGGCGGCCGGCGAGCGCCGACGTGTCGGCGGAGAATCCGGCGGACAGGCGCTCGCGGCTCACCGAGGCGTGAGTCCAAGTCTGAGGTTTGAGGTGCGCAGCTGTGCACTCCAAGGCAGAGCTGAGCACGCCAGCTCGGGGGCGAGAAGGCGAGAACGAGAGGGCCGGACGGAACTGAGTTCGCCGGCACGAGCGAGCGTCCAAGGTCGGCATCGATTAGCGCCGTTGTGCTCGCTCAGCGACTTGGGGCTTGTCCACCATCCACTCGCTGCGTGCTCTCCTCGCCGTCGAGCCAGCACACTCTCTGCCGCATCGCTCGCCCGCCCGTCGCCGCCTCGCCAGCGCCCACCAACGTGGGGTCCCGCCTCGCCCTCTTCCTCATCACTCGCAACTCTCACCCGCTCCCACCACAACCTCGGCACACCTCGCACCTCGCCATGGCCGAGTCGCCGCCAACTGGCCGCTCCCGCTCTGGCTCGACCGGCCTCGGTCGCCCCGCCCTGCCCCTCGCCATGCCGCCCTCGTCCTCCTCCTCCCCCCGTGACTCGCAGCAGGCCACGTCCCCCTCGAGCGCACTCTCCCAGTCCCTCAAGGCCTTTGCCGACCTCGCCCTCCACGACTCGACGAGCCCCGCCGCCCGAAACCCGCTCGACTCGGCAGAGTTCCGCGAGGCGTTCCAGCACGCCCGCCGGGCCAGCTTTGGCGCGACCAACACGTCGTCCGCGGTCACTACCACCACCACCACCCAGCCGAACACGGTCCCGGCCCTGTCGACCTCGCCCTCGTCGTCGTCCGAGGCCGGCTCAGTCCCGACCCCGTCGTCCTCTCCGCCCTCGAGCACCCTCTCGCTCCCCAAGACCCGCTCGGGCGCGCCAACCTCGACGACCGCGAGCACCAAGGCCGTTCGCGCACCCTCGTCGACCCTCGGCGGCGTGTGCGAGCGCCCCGAGCTCGAGTTTGAGCAGCGCGGCGGCTCGCTCGCCCTCGACGACGACGACCTCGCCGCCGACCCGTGCATGTCGGCCCCGGCCGCACGACACATCGCGCCCGCCGTCACGCCCCCGGCGGGCTCGGCGGCCGCGACCGGCGGCGGCATCTTTGCCGGCGGCGCGCGCTGGGGCTGGCCCGGCACGGTCGCCGGCTCGGCCAACGCGGGCCCGCTCAGCCCGCCCGCCGTCGAGCCCTTCTCGCTCGGTCACGGCCGGCGCGGATCGTTCTCGTTCGGCGCCGGGTCGAGCACGGCCGCGTCGGCGGCGGGCATCCAGGCGTCGACCTCGCCCGGCGCCGCGTCGTCGTCGTCGAGCTCGGCGGCGACTGTCCTCGCGACAAGCCCGCCCGCGGCAGACCCGCTCCGCATGATGCAGCCGCTTGGAAGGGTCGTGTCGGCCGGCGCGGCGCTCCAGACGGCGCAGGACGGCGGCAAGAACGGCGTCGGCGATGGACTCGGCCTGTTCCGCCGCTTCTCGATCAGCGGCATCGGCGCGCGCAAGGTGCGCCCGGCTGTCCTCACCTGTCTCTCTTCGCCCTGTTCTACCGAGGGCGCCAGACTGACTAGCTGTCGAACGTACCGACCGCAGAACCGCGCCGTCCCTTCATCGCCTCCGTCAAGCGGCTTCTCAGCCCAGCCCGCCCCGACCCTCCTCGAGCCGACGCACGCCACCCTTCCTCCTCCCGTCCCGACCTCGGCGAGCGCGACGGCCGAGCCGACGCGCCGTGGCAGGACGCTGAGCCCGCCGGTCGGTGCGGCGGCAACGGGCACGAGGGGCAAGAGGAGGATCAGCCCCATGGGCGAGAAGATCCTCCGCGGCGGGTACTAGGCGCGCCGAGCAGCTCTCACGCGCTCGTCGGCGTCGCGAGAAGAGCACAGGCGCCGCGACGGCGCGTCGCCGGACCGCAAGAGCAGGCTCGAGCGCTCCGACGAGCGCCATCTCCCCAGCCTCCTTCCTCGTCCCTCCCTCTCGACTCTCCCGCATCTCTCCTCGCTCGCTCGGGAGCACCCACTCTCTCTGTCACCTTGCCCTCTCTCGCCATCGACCTCGCCCTGGCTCCCTCGCCGCCACCCATCTCTGTTATTGTACACCTCCTCAGCCCGACCCTCCCTCGCCCTCACGACCACCTCACGACGTCGACTCACCTCTCGACCACCTCTCGCTCCCCCCGTCTCGTCCTTTATCAAGCCGGTCCCTCGAAACAAGCCTCAAAAGACGGTCATTCTCTCCCGCCTCCTTGTCTAGCTCTCCCCTCTCCTCCTTCGTGTCGTTACTTCTCCCCTCGTCCGTGTCCTACTCGTCCTTCCTCTGTCATTGTCTCCCTCCTGGACTAGCCGGTCTCTCGTCCCCCTTCTGCTCGTCGTCGCCTTCTCTCGTTCGCCTGCCCTTTCTCTCCTTCTCTTTGTCTGGAATCAAACCTTGTCGGTACCTGTCGCGCAGCAGAGCATGCACTCACGACGAGGGGAGAAGAGAGAGACTGAGAGAGAAAGCGCGCAGAGAGATGAACCGCTCGTCGTTGCACGCGAGGAGCTCAACCTCCCGCCGGCCCTCGTCGCCCTCGCTCCCGCCGCTCGACGTCGACCCGAGCACCCTGCTGCCCCGCTCTTCGCCGCCGGCTCCTCCACGCGCTCACCGCCTCCCGGGTCACCTCGTCGCCGCTCGTCGCTATCGAGCGCACGCTCCCCTCGCTCGTCCTCGGCGGCACCTGCTCTCGCGCCGCCGCCCGCTCGACTCTCCGGCTCCACCCGTACTCGCTCGCCGCGGCGCCCTCTGCGCGCCCGCCCAGGCCCTCGAGCGCCTCGAGCGCACGCCGTCGCGCGCCGAGCTCGTCGCTGATCGCCTGCGCAACCTGCTCCGTCGTCGCGCGGCCGTCGCCGCCGCCCGCCGCCAGCGCACCGCCGCCCGAGGTCGAGGTCGAGCGCAGGACGCGAGGAGGGCGGAAGAGGAGGACGACAAAGGCGGCGATGACGAGGAGGACGAGGAGGAAGATGAGCTGGCACTTGCCCGAGCGGCGCTGGTACCTGTGGATGGTGACGAGGTCGAAAGGGAGGGACGATGAGGGGGGAAGAGAGCGAAGACAGTGAGGGAAGAGAAGAAGGAAGGAGAGGGGCCCAAGAGTCAGTGCGGTCGAACGACGAGAGGAGGAGAAAGCGAGGCCCGCTCAGACGCACCTCGTCGCCTCTCTCAGCTCCTGCGCCGCGCCCCTCACCTCGGTGCTCATGACCTCGACGTTCCAGTCGACGCGGTCGAGGAGCGTGCCCTGGTCGATGACGAGCGAGCTCAGGTCCTTGAACAGGTCGGCGAGGTCGGCAATCGACTGGGCGATCGACGCGATCTCGGTCGAGCGTTGGTCGGCGGCTGCGGTCGACGACGAGGACGACTGATGCGAAGCGAAGAACTGCTGCTGGGCGAGCGAGGGCGTCGACGCGCCGGCCGAGGGGGAGGAGCTCGACGAGAGGGCCGAGCGGGACTGCGGGCGAGGCGAGCAGCTCGTCAGTCCCACACAACCATACATCTCGCCGCGACAGAGTCTCGGAGGTGAGGTAGAAGAGATGAGGAACGTGAGGACGCACCGCCTGCTCGTCCTCGGCGAGGGCGACAAGTGGGTCGTAGACGGTCGTCGCGCGGTTCTGCAGCTCAACCGCCTTGGACTCGTTGCCGCGCAGCTCTGCGCACAGGGATTCGAGTTAGTGTCGTCGTTGCTGCACATGGCGGCGAGGAAGAGGGGACGCACGACGGAGGTACTCGGCCTGGTTCTTGCGAAAGACGGTGCTGAGGGCCTGCACCTTTGTGGCGAGGGCCGTCTGGACGTTGGCGGCCATGACGAGGTCGATGCGCTTGACCTCGGCGTGTGCGGCATCTCGAGGACGCGACGCGAGGAGCTGCTGCGACTGGACGGCGATGCGGCGGATGTGGGCCTGGCACGCGCGAAAGTCCTGCGTGCGTCGGGCGAGGGCGGTCAGGTTCGTGAGGCGGGGAGTGAGGGCCACGAGAGAGGACGGACCGAGGTGATGGAGGTGGCGAGGGCTTGGATCTCGCGCTCCTCGGCCGAGCGGTCCTTGAAGCCGGGCAAGAGGTGCTTGGCGTGGAGCTTGTCGAGGTGGGCGACTGCACGGCGGAGGAGCGCGAGTCAGTTGGGCGTCTCGGGGGCAGACAGAGTGTGTGAAGGGTGGGGGCGCACTCTTTGGCTTGACCTGGCGCACGAGCGAGTCGACCTGGTCGGCCTCGTCGACCCAGCGAGGAGGGAGAGCGTCGTCGTGTGGAGCGCGTTGCGGGATGGCCGGGGTGCGGAGCTGGTTGCCGCCGATGAGGCCGGCCTCTTCGTCCCCCAAGTCGTCGTCGTCGTACGTGTAGCGGGTGAACGGGGTCGACGGGGTGGGGCGGGCGGCCGAGTCGCGGTACGAGAGGAAGAGCGAGGTGCGCGAGCGGGTGACGGGCTGGCTGGCGAGGGTGACCATGGTCCCACAAGCACGCTTGTGGAGCGCTGGCCTGCCCGGTCGAGGGGCGACAGCGAGGCGGAGGTCCGGGAGGTTGAGGGACTTTGGTCGCGACGACGACGACGACGAGGTGGCGGCTCACCCTCTCGCTCCCTCACCGCCACCAGAGTATAGACTCGGCCCAGCATGGCTCAACAGCCCCCCTCCACCGCCACCAGCACCGACCTGTTCGAGAACTGTCCGTCCCCCCCTCCTCTCCTCGTCCTCCTCCCGCACCCACCTCCCTGCTCACACCTTTGTCCCCACACAGACGTCTACTACGCCGCAGAGGCAGCCAGACTCGCCCGCACCGCCTGTCAAGAGCGCACTCAGCTCGCAGCTCGCGTCGAGGCCCTCGAAGGCCAACTCGCTCTCGTGAGTCTGTGGCGGTGCTCCTCGCCCTTGTCGCCCCTTGTCCCGTACAGGGAGCTGACATTTGCCCTGCACACCCCTCGCAGGCCAAGCTCGGTCATGTCGAGCAACAGATAAAGGCGCGCAACGCCCAGAAACAACTCGATGTGCGCACCACCTCGCCCTCGTCCCTCCCCCACACGAGCCCTCGCGCTGACCTCGTCTCCCACAGATCGTCGGCGGCGACCAGATCGTCTACTGCGTCCTCGACGGCGACGGCTGCATCTTTAACCGCACTCTCGTCGCCAAGGGCCGCGACGGCGGGCGCGAGGCCGCCATCCTCCTCACCAAGAGCATCGACGACTATGCGTCGAGCCGCGGCATCAAGGGCCAACTCACCATGGTCGTCCACCTGTACCTCAACAAGGCCGGCCTCGCGCGCGTCCTCCAGACGTGCGGCATCGCCGACGAGGCCACCTTCTCGGCCTTCCTCGTCGGCCTCAACGCGGCCCACCCGCTCATCCTCGTGTCCGACGTCGGCCCGTCCAAGGAGGCGTGCGACGCCAAGCTCACCCAGACCCTCAAGCTGTACGCCAAGCTCCCGTCGACCAAGCTCGTCCTCGCCGGCGCCGCGCACGACGGCGGCTACGCCCACCTCTTCTCGTCGCTCGAGACCGAGGCGCCCGTCCTGTTCGACAAGGTGACGCTCCTCAAGAGCTACGACGACCTCGCGTTCGAGCTCAAGCGCCTCAACCTCCGCACGACAACGTTCGACGGCCTGTTCGAGAACAAGAAGCTCGTCGCGCACGGCAACGGCAACCATCACCACTCGGCGGCGGCGTCGGGCTCGGGCACGCCGGCAGGCCTGCAGCCACCTCAGCTCCTCGCGACGCCCCGCAAGTCGTCGCCCGCCGTCGTGCAGCACACGACGCCGGCGCAGGTCGCCGTCGCCTCGTCCTCCTCGTCGACCGCGACGCCGACGTCGGCCAAGGCGCCCAAGACGCCGCGCTCGCTGTCGGCCAAGATGGCCAAGCTGTCGCTCGCGGCGGCGGCCCTCGCGCCACCTGTCCCGATCGTGTTCGGCGACACGGTCGAGGCGCAGGACGAGGAGCTCAAGAGCTCGAAGAAGAAGAAGCTGCGCGAGATCGACCCGACCAAGGTGCGTCCTCGCTTTCTCTTGCTCTCTCGACCTCTCGTGCCGCAGAGACTCACAGCCTGTCGTCCCTCGCCCGCTGCAGCCGCTGTACAAGCAGGCGTTCGGCCCGCCCTGCAACCGCCACTACCTTCTCTCGCCCTCGTCCCCCCTGTACTGCGCCTCGTCGACCTCGGCCGCGCCGTGCAAGTACTCGCACGCCTACGCCCTCACGCCGCAGCAGCTCGCGACGCTGCGCACCGACGCGGCCAAGTCGCCGTGCTTCGCCGCGCTCAAGGGCCGGATCTGCAGCGACGAAGCGTGCTTCGCCGGGCATGTGTGCCCGAGGGGCGCGAGGTGTCTGTACGGCTCAAAGTGCAAGTTCAACGCGCCGGGTGCGTCCTCGCGACCTTTCTCCTCGTCCTCGTCCTCCCCTACCTCCTTCCTCCATCTGCCCTCTTCCCTCCTCTCTTCCGCTGTTGCGCACGCCGTACTGACACTATTCTCTGTGCGACGCAGGCATGCACCCGCCGGGCACCAAGGGCCGCAGCGATGGCTGGGCGTGGCGCGGCGACCTGTACGCCGGCGACGGCGCCGCGCTCGCCGGCTCGGGCCTGCCGCGCAAGGGCCCGGCGTACGAGGTGCGCGAGTACGGCACGACGTCGGGCAGCGAGGGGTACGAGACGACGAGCAGCTTGGACTGAGCGGGCGCTCGAGGTTGGGCAGGGCGGGCGACAGGGGCGGGCATGACTGGACGGCGGGCGGTAAGGGCGGCGGGCCGTGAGTGTAATGCCTTTCGTCCCTCCTCTTCCCTCTTCGTCGGTCTGTGCAGGTGGCGCGCGAGGCTGTGCGCGTTCAGCTTCTCTCTCGGTGTTCGTCGGCGGCGCTGCGGTGGAGGAGGACGAGGTCTCGGGAGGACCAGGTGCGTCCCCATCCACCTCATCTACCACTTCCGGTCGTACATCGAGCTCACTGTTTCTGCCTGCAGCAGGAACTCGCCGCTCGCGACCACAAGGAGGCGTTGTCGACGTCCCCAGCTCGCGGCCTTCTCAAGTCGCGTCTTGCGCTCTCCCGCCTCGCCCTCATCGCCGGTCGCCGCCGCGCTCGCCTCGACAACTTCTTCTACCCTTGCTGCACATCTCGAGCCTTCGCACGCAGCGGCGGGCGTCGTCCGGCCTCGTCGTCGCTCGAGCCGTCCGCTGTATGCGGCGTCTCCTTTCCCCTTCTCGCCGGACCCTCACCCTCGGTCAAGGAGAGCCGCAGCACTCGCTCGCCCTCGGTCTCGCACAAGAAGGGCCTCGCTCTCGCGTGTGCCTCTCTTCTTCCTTCCTCTCACTCTTGCCCCCTCCCCCTCGACGACCACCCTCGTCCCTTCTCGACCTCACCCTCACCCTCACCCGCCACCACCACCACCTCTCAGCCCCATCATGCAGTCGTCGATGAACGTCCCCGACCAGTTCCGCGCCGCCCAGTTCACCGAGAAGAACGGGCAGCTCGAGATCAAGCCGACGCAGCTCGGCGAGGTCAAGGCCGACGGTGCGTCTCCCTCTCTCTCCTCGTCGTCGTCGTCGTCGTCGAGGTCGAGACTGACTCTGTCCTCGTCTCGCAGAGTGCGTCATCAAGGTCCACGTGTGCGGCCTCCACTCGACGTGCGTCCCCCTCTCCCTCTCTCCTTTCGCGCACGAGCCTCGACCGGGAGCCGACCCCTTCTCACCCGCCCGCAGCGACGAGCTCCTCAAGCACGACCTGCTTCCCGACATGCGCTACCCGATGATCCCGGGCGGCGTTGTCGTCGGCGAGATCGCCAAGCCGGCCCAGCAGGGCAAGCGCAACCTCAAGGAGGGCACGCGCGTCGTCGGTCCGTCCTCGTCTCTCCCTCTCTCTCTGCCTCATCTACGCCGACAAGGACCTGCGACTGACACACCCTACGCTCGCAGCCATCACGTTCATGCGCGGCCTCGCCGAGTACGTCGCCGTCAACGAGGCCATGGTGATCGAGCTGCCCAAGGGTTTCCACTCGGGCGACAAGCAGCTCGAGGCGCCCATCTGCGCGTTCGACGCGACGCGCGTCTGGGTCGCGCACGAGCGCTGCCACGACGAGCTCAAGCGCATGAACGACGCTGAGCGTCGCCTCGTCAAGGACCTCAACGAGCGCATGGGGTTCAAGGGCGACGGCGTCCTCGTCGTGTACGGTCAAGGGTGCGTCCCTCTTTCTCTCTCTCCTTCTGTGTCGACGACGCAGCACTGACTCTCGCACCACCATCCTCCCCCTCCCTCTCGCAGCGGATTTGCCAAGGTCGCGCTCGACATGATCAAGATGGCCAAGCAGGACCGCAAGGTGATCCTCGTCGCCACGTCGGACCGCTGGTCGGCCGGCGACTACGGCCTCAAGGACGACTGCCTCGTCGTCGTCGGCAAGCACAACGTCGCCGACGAGCTCAAGAAGCTCGGCGGCGCCCAGGGCATCATGTGTGCGTCCGCGCTTTCTCTCTCGAGGTCGTCGACGGACGACGCACTGACCCACTCGCTCCCGCACGACTCGCAGGCGTCGACATGCCGATTCAGCAGGTCGAGCAGCTCCTCGACGGCTGCCGCTTCCACTCGTCGATCGTCCTCCTCTCGCCTCGCCAGGACAAGGCGATGCAGCTCCCGATCGGCGCGTCCCTCTCTCTCTCTTTCTCGCCGTCTCGAGCTCGAGGCCGTGACTGACCCTCTCCCTCCTCCTCCTCCCTCTCTCGACCTCGCCTCCTCGGCCTCGCCGCACAGCCAACATCCTCGCCAAGTCGATGACGCTGCACGGCCAGCCGCTCGTCACGCACAAGCAGCTCGAGCACGCCATGCAGCTCGCCGACAAGCACGGCCTGCGCGCGCCGGTCAAGCAGTTCAACTTTGACGAGGGCGGGGTGCGCCAGGGCTGGGCGGCCGTCGAGGGACGCGAGCAGTTCGAGGCGGCGGTCGTCGTCGTGTCGCGCTCGTGAGGAGCCCTCTCCCTCTCTCTGCCGTAGCCTCCCCCTCTCGCCTCGTCGTCGCCTTTGCATTCAAAGCTTTGCCCTCACTTTTCGCCTCTCTTTCTCTCTCTCGCTCTCTCTCTCGCTCTCTCTCTCGCGTTCTCTTCTTCCCGTGGAGGGCTGCGCCTCGCCCCGCTTCTCGAGAGGTTGGCGAGCGAAAGCAGAGCGAGCAGGCGAGGAGCTTGCAAGCGAGAACAAGACGTCGAGGTCCCGCCACCGCGAAGCCGCTCCCTCGTTCTGAGCACTGTGTGACGACGACAGAGCGACGAGCGACCGACGAACGAGAGGGCAGTGCGAGGCGGCTCACAGACAGAGGGTCCGAGCGAACCTTCTCAAGTGGACGAGCTTCCGAAGGAAAACTCTCGCTCCTGCTCCTCGTTCGCCTCGGCTGCTGAGCAGACCTGTCGAGCAGCCCTCTGAGCTCGAGCCCAGCAGCTTGGGCGACTGAACGGAGGGGGAACGAGGGCCGAGGTGGGAGGAGAACGAAGGAGGCGAGCGGCGAGGAGAGTCGAACGCGGATTGTGCGAGCTGCAGAGCTGCGCTCGCACGAGAAGCGATTCTGCCGTACTGAAAGGCTCTCGCTCGACCTGCTCGACGATCCCGGCATCTTCGAGCGAGCTTTCGGCTCGTCTCACGCCTCAGCGCCTCTCGAATGCCGAGAAGGGCCGACCTTGCAGTTCCCTCCCGCGCTACCGCTGCACGATCTTCCACCTCTCGGCCTCGACCTTTGCCCGTCCCTCCTTGTCCAACCGCCCAAGCGCGTCCCTCCTCCCCCTCGCGCGCATGGCCTCGAGCGCCCAGCCGCCCATGCCGACCGCCCACACGAGCGTCGCGGCGTAGTAAAAATTGGCGTTGCCGGCCGTCGACGCGAGCCACATGTGCGAAAAGGCGGGCAGGAGCGACAGGGCGTACAGCGGGACGAGGGCGTGGAAGATCGGGGTCGAGACGTCTGCGGGCCCGAGCGCGGTCAATGAGGGCTTGCTCGGTCGAGAACGAGAGAGAGGGGGGACGTACGAGGCAGGAGCTCGGAGTAGCAGGCGAGGAGGGCGTGCCACAGGGCCCAGTCACCCAAGGTCGGGTAGCTTTTGAGGAGCGCGACTGCGCCGACGAGCAGGGTCGCCGCAAAGAGGGGATCGTTCCTGCGTCCAAGACCCACCATTAAGCTCGACTCGGTCCGGTCCGAAGGAGAAGGAGGGAGCAGGATGGAGGAGGAGGGACGCACCTGTAGAAGATGCACAGCGGCGCGACGTAGACGGCCGGGTGGAGCGCAAACACGACGAGGAAGAAGGCGCGGAAGTGATCGAACATCTCGATGAAGAAGTACCACGTCAGGCCGATGTTGGGCGTCAGATCGGGGACTGTGAGACTGGGTGCGGGTCGAGGGCGGGGGTGAAGCGAGGGTGCGACGAGGAGGGGAGGCAAGAGAGAAAGAGTGAGCGTCTGAATATGCCGAGGGAGACGGTGACGAGGACGCACATGACACCGTAGACGCTGTTGAGGAACGCCCAGCTGCCCGTCAGCCACCGGCTCAAGCCGAGCAGCACGGCCTGGTGCAGCGCAAACGCCGCCGTGCCCTCGACTGCGCTTGCCGCGAGCGACTGCGCGTCTCGCCGCGAGCGCTTGACGATGGCCTGGTGGGCGACGAGGATGACGGGCACGAGAAGGAGGACCGGGTGGAGCGAGAGGTGGGCCGCGAGGGAAAGGTGGAAGGCGGCGAGGACGAGCGAGCCTGTGCGAGAGGCGTGCGAGTCAGTGCCGAGACACGTTGCGACGATCCCGAGGCGATGAAAAGAGAGACGAACCATCGAGCGCCGAGTTGAGGGCGAGGGCGAGGAACAGGTTGGTGAAGGTGGTCGACGAGCGCGCGAGGGTGGTTGCGACCGTAAAGGGGTGGAAGAGGTAGCTATTTCGGGGGGCACAGGGGCTGTCAGTCTGCTGGTCTGGTGCAGGCGCACGTTGACGATGGTAAGGGGCACGCACAGGGCTGCGACGGTGGCCCGACTCCAGCGCTTCTCGGTGCGGTCGACGGGTTCAGGTCCACGGTCTCGCGCTCGGGCGATGCGGCCGAGTGCGCAGGCTGCGACGAGGTCTGCTGCGGTCCACGCGGCAAAGCTGAGCCAGGGCGGAGCCGAGTCGGGGTGGACGAGGGGTCCGACGAGTGCGAGGACGAGGGGAGGGTGGTGGAACGAGCCGGCGGCGTAGGGGTCGAGTGGGGGTGAGAGGTTGGTGGCGAGGTGGTGGCCTTCCTGGACTGTGTGCGCACGGGTGTCAGTGCTGCTCGCTGTGTGAGAGACGAGGGGAGGAGACGGACGGCGGACGAGGGCCGAGAGGGGGGTCGCGAGCTCGTTGCGGGTTGCGAGGGATGTGGGCCAGCTGGTGGCGAGTGCGAGTGCTGCTCTCAAGAGTGCGGCTGGTGCGAGTATGGCGGCCGAGTCCATGCTGAACGGAGCCGGGCAGAGGATCCGGGCCAAGCGAAGAGTGAGCCGGACTGTAACTGTCCTCCTCCACCTCTCTCGCTCCCTCGTCGTCTCGCTCTTGACACTGCTGCTCAACATGACTCGCTCAAGCTCTACTACCACCCGCTTCGGCTCGCTCGTCCCCTTTGCCGAGCCCGCCGCCATCAGGGTGAGCCTTCCCCCGCCCACTCTTCATCAGCTGCATCGCCCACACTCACCCTCTCTGCCCCTGCAGGACCTCCCGAGCCCTTACTACAACGAGTCGCACCACCAGCTCCGCCGCGCAGCCCGCAAATGGTCCGCCCTCCCCTCCCCCTCCTCCTCCTCCTCCCGCCCCCACCTCGCCATCATCGGCTGACCCTTTCCTCCCCTGTCTTCCTCCCTCCCCTCGAAACCACCCACACAGGGCCGACGAGTACATCATGGACATCCCGTTCGAGTGGGAGGAGGAGACAAAGACGGTCGACCCGGCCGTGTACAAGGCCGCCGCAGACGCCGGCATCGTCACCTGCCTCGCCTGGGGCACCCGCATCCCCAAGAAGTGGGCAAAGCCCGACGGCACCGTCTTTGGCGGCGTCAAAGTCGAGGAATGGGACGGCTTGTACGTCCTCTCCTTCCTCGAGTCGATCTTTCCTTCTCCCTCTCGACGTGACTGACCCTCTCTCGGTCGTCGCACGCAGCCACGACCTGATCCTCATCGATGAGCTGCACCGCAACGGCTCGCTCGGCGTCGGCCAGGGCCTCTTTGGTGGCCTGCAGATCGGTGCGTCCTCGCCTTCTTCGCCTCGCGAGCGCGCTTCTCGCCCTCCTCGGCATCGCCATTTGTCCCCCTCTTTACGGACGCCTCCCTGACTCTCTATCGCCCTCACCCAGGGTGCCCGCCGATCTACCACTTTGGCTCGCAGGAGCTCCAGGACCGCGTCCTGCCCGACATCATGGCCGGCAAGAAGCGCGTCTGCCTCGCCATCACCGAGCCCGAGGCCGGCTCGGACGTCAAGAACCTGTCGACCGAGGCCGTCTTGTCGGACGACGGCAAGCACTACATCGTCAACGGCACCAAGAAGTGGATCACGAAGTGCGTCCCGCTCTCCCTCCCTCGCTCTCTCTCTCGTCCGCCGACGGCCACACTGACCCCCTGCTCTCTACGCCCGCAGCGGCATCTACTCGGACTACTTCACGACGGCCGTGCGCACGTCGGGCAAGGCGGGCGACATGGCCGGCGTCTCGTTCCTCCTCATCCCCAACGGCGAGGGCGTCACGCGCCGCCGCATGAACATGTCGGGCCAGCACTGCGCCGGCACGACCTTCATCACGTTCGAGGTGCGTCTCGAGGCCGTGCCTCTCTCTTTCATCCCTTGCGAGCCGTGAGGAGGGAGAACGAGCGCTCATGATTGCGTGCGGCGGGCCGAGCAGGACGTCAAGGTGCCGGTCGAGAACCTCATCGGCAAGGTCGGCGAGGGCTTCAAGTGCATCATGAACAACGTGCGTCGGCTGTGTCCTCTCTGTCGTCCTCTCACTGTCCTCGTCGTCGGGCTCGAACCGCGAACTGACCTTCTTAAATTGCCTCGCCTCTCGCCTCCTCCAGTTCCGCCATGAGCGCCTCATGTCCGTCCGCCTCTCCCTCCTTCTCTCTCTCTCGTTCTACGACGAGGAGCCTAACGCAGACCTCCTCACCTTTACAGGATCTCGATCGTCGCGCAGCGCATCGCGCGCGTCGCGCTCGAGGACTCGCTCACGTACGCGCACAAGCGGCGCGTGTTCGGCAAGCGCCTCGTCGACAGCGAGGTCATCCGCAACAAGGTGGCGCACATGAGTCGCGTCATCGAGGCGCAGCAGGCGTGGCTCGAGGTGCGCTCGCACCCCTTCTTCTTCTCCTCCCTCGCCTCCTCTCCTCGCCTCCTCTCCCTCGCCTTCGCCTGCCCCTCCTTCCCTCGCCCATCCCTGCCTTTGTTGTCTTCTCCTGCCCTGCCCGCCGCACCCTGTCGTGGCTCCTTCGCGCCTCTCGAACGATCACGAGCAGGCGCCGACTGACCCTGTCCCTCTCTCTGCCCCTCGCCCACAGTCGATCGTCTACGCCTCGGAGCACCTCCCGCACGACCTCGCCAACCAGCGCCTCGGCGGCACGACGGCCCTCCTCAAGGCGCACTGCGGCATCACGCTCGAGCTCGTCGCGCGCGAGGCGGTCCAGATCATGGGCGGCATCGCGCACACGAGGGGCGGCGTCGGCGAGAGGGTCGAGAGGATCAGGAGGGACGTCAAGGGCGTCGTCATTCCGGGAGTGCGTCGTCGCCGTTCCTCTCTGTTTCCTCGCTCGAGCGCGGTCCCCTTTTCCCATCGGGACCGAGCCCAGGCGTTCGTCGTACTTGAGATTGTCGACAGCCACTGACACGCTCTCACCCGTCTTGCAGGGCAGCGAGGAGATCATGCTCGACAACGGCATCAAGCAGGAGCTCCGACTCGCCCTCGGCCTCGGCGCAAAGCTCTGAGCGCCTCTTCCACCGAGCCCGTCTCTCGACGCCAGCGCCTCTCTCGTCCTCTTCCTCCTTCTCTGGCTGTACTGTCGCGATCCGCAATCAAGTAGTGCTCTCGGTCTCTATCCTCGAGAGCGAGTGCGAGAGAGAGTCGAAGCGTGAGGTCCTCGTTGCAGATGCGAGTGCGGACGCGAGTACTGCGAGTGCGGGTGCGAGTGCGAGTGCGGTGCGAGTGCGTGTGCGTGTGCGAGCGCAGGCGCATGCATGTGTGTGCGAGTGCCTCCTCCAGGTCAAGCCAAGCCAAGCCGTCCCTCCCCTCCTTCCTCCTCGTCCTCTCACGGGCCGTCCCGTCCTCGACATGCCCCAAGCCCTCAGGGCGCCTCTCCCGGGCCCTCCCCAGCACCATTCGACGCACCGTCGCCCATGTCCGGAAGCCCCTGCAGCTTGAGCGCCGCGCCGAGCGCCTCGAGCGCGCTCGCCGAGATGCTCGGCGCCACGTTGGCCGCCTCGGCGTCGGCGGCGGGCGCGTCGGTGGCGGGCGCGTCGGCGGCGAGAGCGACGGCCGACGGCGCAGGCACAGGCGCGGCGTCGAGAGCCGTCGACGGCACAGCCGCCGGTGAGCGGGTCCCGGCGCTCGTGCCGCCGCTGGACGAGCCTGCGCGGCCCTTGATGCCGAGGCTGAAGGCGCGAGGCCGCCCGGCGTCGTCCTGCTGCCCCTGCTGCCCGTTCTCCGGCGACTGCGCTCCGTCATGCTGCACTTGTGCGCCGAACGCCGCTGCGCCGCCCCTCCTCGCGCCCCACGCGCTGCGCGCCGCCTCCTCTGCGCGCGCCTTCTCCTCTGCCGCCGTCGGCCGCCGCTCACCGCCGCCGCCGCGCTCGTCGACGTCGCCGTCGAGCTGCATCGGCTCGTTGACTAGCCCTCCCGCCCCAGCTGCGCCCGAGCTCGCGAGGAGCGCGGCCCGAGCGGGGTCCATGAACCCGGTCCCGCGTGGCGCGCTCGGCGCCGGCGCCGGCGCCGTCGCAGGTGCCGAGGGCGGGCGCATGAGCGCCGAGTCGGTCGGGTGGACGCTTGGGCCCGTACCGGAGACGGTTTGCGGGCCTGGACGAGGAACGCCGGTCGACGGGCGAGACGCCGGGGCCGACGACGACTGCTGCTGCTGCGGCGGGTGCGAGGGCGTGTGGGCGAGCAGGTGCGGCGAGTGCGAGGTTGAGAAGGTGCTGAAGGGAAGGATGGGCGCGAGCGGCGAGTAGGCGTCGAGAGGAGGAGGTGCACCCGGGGCGAGCGCCGCCAGGCGCGAAGGCGGTCCAGCCGGCCCGCTGCTGATCGACGACGACGACGACGCCGACACGAACGGGTCGAGGATGCCCGACGGCGGGCGAGGCTGCCCGGCGGGGAAGAAGCGCAGGGCGGCGGGCGCTGTAGGCGGGTCGGTCCCGGTGTGCTGCTGTGACGGCCGGCGGCGACGATCGACCGTCGGCGAGGCTTGCGGCTGCTGCTGCTGCTGCTGGAGCCGAGGCGTTGGCGGGTTCGACGCCGAGTAGTCGCTGCGGGAGCTGGCCCCGTCTCCTGCTGCGTCGCCAGCGGTGCCGCGGCACGCCGCCTCGTAGTCGGACAGGTGCGTCGAGCGGTAGTCCTTGCTCATCTCGCCTGCGAGAGCGGTCCAGGGAGTACGGGGAGGAGGGAGAGGAGCGAGGAAGGGGAGGAAGGAAGGAAAGGGGAGGGCGGAAAGGGGTGCGTGCGCAAATCGTCAGTGAGGAGGTCCAGGTCGGGTCGAGCAAATCGCCGTCGGCGAGCGATACGACGTACTCCAAAGCCACTCGTGCTCTGCAGGCAGTCGAGGAGCCAGTCAGTCAGGGTTCTTGATCCGGCCAAGGAGAGAGAGAGAGAGAGACGCACCCTCGCCCTGATTCCTCGCGCGCATCTCCGCCAGCTCGACCCACAGCTTGACCGGCGCGCCCGGGTACTTGCCGCCCATGAGCTCATGCCGCGCACGATCGCGCTCGCGCTGCGTCTCGAACGCGAGCCACGCGTCGCGGAACCGGAGCGCGCGCAACGACGACGAGACCTCGCTCAGGCTCAGGCCGACGAGACCGACTGCGGACAAGGCGAAGGTCGAGGTGCGTGAGTGACGGCACATCTCGCAGGGAGGGGGAAGAGAGAGAGCGGAGAGAGAGAGCGGAGAGAGAGGCAGAAGGACGCACCGCACGGGTCGAAAAAATCCCTGCACTCGCCGAGCGTCGTGTCGGCCGCGACGTTGCTGACGTACAGGGTCGACAGGGCCGCGAGCAGGTGCGACGGCAGCGGCGTGTGCGGCGGAAGAGGTGCCGCCGTGCTCGCTCGACGACCTGCCCCGCCGCCGTCAGCGCTCGGACCCGCCGAGGGTGCGGCGTGCGGCACGCCGGCGAGGTGAGGCGGTGGTGCCCGGTCGTCGACGACAGGCTGCAGGTGCGGCGTCGCGATGCGGTTGGCGAGAACGCTCGACGAGGACGACGCCGAGGACGCGTGGGCGTAAGTCGACGGGGTGTGCCGAGCGGCGTGCGCGTCGAGCTGCTGGCGGTGGTGGGCGTCGACGAAAGACGGCTTGAAGTCGCTCCAGCGCCACGAACCTGTGAGGAGAGTACCTTGAACGTCAGGGAGGGTGCGGGAGAACAAGAAGGAGGACAGAGGACGCACTCGTCGTCTGCTCGGCCCCGACGCTCGACGTGATCTTGCGGCCGCGGAACCTCGCGTGGTCGGTGCGGCGGATGAGCTCGCGCGCGCTCTCAACGTCGCCCTCGTCGTACATGACGAACGCGAGCGTCACGTCGGGCTCGAGGCCGGCCTCGCCCGCCTGCCCAAAGTCCTGGTTGGGCCGCGAGTGGCACTTGATCGCGACCGGGTCGGCCCGGGTCGTCGGCGCGCCGTGGCGCACAAAGTCGGCGATGTCGGTCGCCGAGAGACGGCCCGGGAGGTGGCGCAGGAAGACGGTGTGCAGGCGCGAGAGGAGCTCGATCGGGACCGACTCGGACGGGCGCGGCATGCTGGGCGGCGGCGTCTGCCTGCGCGGGCCCGTCGGCGGCGTCGCCACACGGGCAGGCGTCGAGGCGTGGTCGGCGTCGTCGAGGCGGCGGCGGGTCGAGCTGCGCAGGACCGCCGACGACGCGTGCGAGTAGTCCGAGCGCGCCGGGCTCACGGCGCGCTTGCGGCTTGCCGACCCGAGCGCGACGAAGGACGACTCGTGGCCCGAGTCGCGGCGCGTGGCGGGCGACCGCGACCGCGACCGCGAGCGGGCGCACGAGTAGGCGCGCGACGACGACGGCTTCGAGCCTGAGGCGCGCTCGCGCTCGTCGCGCTCGTCTCGACCGCGCTCGGCCCTCCTGCTCGTCTCCCTCTCTCTGCTGCTCCTGCCCGAGCTCCTCTCCCTCGCCCGCCGGACCTCCTCGCCCTCCTCGCCCTCCTCGTCGCGGCTCCTCCTCCTGCGCCCGCCACGCTCGCGCTCACGCTCGCGCTCCTCGTCCTCGCGCTCACGAGCCGCCTTGGCCTCCTTGTACGCTGCGCGCTCGCGCTCGCGCTGCGCCGTACCCGGCGACAGGGACCGCTCGCGGCCCCGGTCGCGCTCCGAGCGGCGGCTCGACGAGGCCCGGTCGCGCGAGCGTGCGGCGTCGTAGTCGCGGTCGCGAGAGCGAGAGCGTGCGCGGTCCCGCCTCGGCTCGTCGTCCCTCGCCCGCTCGCGTTCGCCAGCACGCGCAGGGCCGTCCCTCGTGCTCGCCCCGCTCGCTGCAGTCGTCGGCGCCCTCGACGCTGGGCCCGACGCTGACGCCGACGCTGCACTCGACGGCTGCGGCTGCGCGACGACCGGTGGCGCGAGCGCGGGCGGCTTGACGAGGGCAGGCAGCCTCGAGCTCGTGCTCGCGGTCGACGCGGACGATGAGCCGGCGACTGGGCGAACGAGGGAAGGGTCGAGGGGCGCGCTCGCGGCTGCTGCGCGAGGGGCTGCGCCCGGCGGCGTGCAGGAGGTGGGAGGGATAGAAGGAGGAGCGACTGGGCGTGGGGGAAGGCGCGAGGTGGTCGGGGCGCGAGCGGGAAGAGAGGGGAGGGTCGAGTCGGCGGCGGCGGGCGGCACGGCCGTCGTCGAGGATGGAGCAGACGCGAGCGGTGTAGGTGAAGGTGCGGCGGCGACGGGCGCTGGTGCGGCGGGCGTCGACGAGGTCGAGGCGGAGGGAGGAAAGGGAGCGAGCGACAGGCCGGCGGCAAAGTCGCGCTCGCGCCTGGTGAAAAAGGCGTCCTCGGCGGCCATGACGAGCTCGGCTGTCGCTGCCGGGTGGAACTGGACGGCGGCGAGCTGGGCGCTCGAGAGGTGGTCGAGGTTGACGGAGGCCGGGTCGAGGTCGAAGGCGAGGTCGACGCACTCGAAGCGCGGGAACTGGTCGCGCTGCTGGAGGTCGAGGGGTGCATGGATGCCCATGGGCTCACGGGCCGTGATGAGCGGGCGGGCCTTTTCCCTGCGCCTGCGCCAGGTGCGCTTGAGGGCGGCAGCCATCGAGTCGTCCCCTGTGGACCGGCGACAGGAGCGTCAGGCGGGGGCGAGAGGGCGGGGGACGCGGTGGGACGGACAGCTTGTGCTCCATGGCGCGAGTGCGAGCTGGTACGCTGCGAGGTCGGCGAGTGTCGACGCGGCGAACGCGAAGTCGAGGTCGGCGAGGTGCAGCAGAGGGAACGGGTCGCCGTCGCCGGGCGGGTCCTGGGCCGCCATGGGCAGACAGGCCGGGTCGAGGGCGGGCTGTCGAGCTGGCGCGGCAGCTACGTAGTGACGGTGCGAGGCGAGAGTGAGGCGCTGAGGTTGGCTCTGTTGCGACTCGGCGCGCTTTCGGTTCTCGGTTGCTCGACAGCGTGCGTACGAGCCTTCTCTGCACGCTCAGCTTGCCAGTGCCCGCCCCGCGAGACCAGTACGAGCGACAAGGTGAGACAGCTCCGACCGGAGCGAACTCGAGCTCCAACTCGACTCTGCTCCTCTTCCCACCGCATCGCTGGCACCGGCTGCCACCGGTACTCGCACGTACACCCAAGCTCGGCTCCCTGCACCCCCTGAACCAGCCGCAGGCGGCCCCTCGACCTCGCTCCATCTACCGCCCCCACCCGCGGTCGCCCAACTCGGTTCACCCTCCTTTGCACACCACCACCCGGCCCCTCGGCTCGTACACGCAGGTCGCCATGGGCGCACCGAAAGCCGGCCTCGACGGCAAGACGACCGGCGCCGCCATCCTCCTCGCCGTCGTCCTCGTCGCCTACACCATCCAGACGGAGCTCGCCTCGCACGTCCAGCACCAACTCGGCTACAAGAAACCCTTCTTCCTCTTCTACCTCACCCACAGGTCCGTCCCTTCGTCCCCTCCCCATCAGAGAGCCCGCTGACCTCGTTCGCCCCGTGCACAGCGGCTACACCCTCCTCGTCCCGGCGCACGTCCTCGTCCTGCGCCTCACGGGCACCCCCATCCGCTCGACCTTTGCCGACCTGCGCGACCTCCTCACGTACCACTTCCGCACCCCGAGCCCGCACGACGACCCGGACGGCGCCGCCATCCCCGTCTCGCCCAAGGTGCCGCGCTCGCGCTCCGACCGTTCGCTGTACCGCCACACGTCGCCCAACGCCGTCACGCGATACCTCCCCGCCGCCCTTGCCGACATCGCCGAGCAGGACTGGGTCCAGAACCTTGCCAAGAAGGCCGGCATCCTCACCATCTTCATCTCGGCGCCCGCCCTGTCGTGGTACGCCGCCGTGCCCTTGACCAGCATGACCGGTCCGTCATCCTCTCTTTGTGTGGCCACCGCGCGGTCGTACTGACCCTCTCGCACCCGCAGACATCACGGCCATCTACAACGTCTTCGCCTTCGTGAGGCCTCGCGTTCTCTGGGCGAGACCTTCTCAAATCCTCCACTGACCCTTGCTCCCTCCCCATCTCGCAGTGGGCCTACCTGCTCTCGCTCTACTACCTTCCGTCCCCTGCCTCGGCGCGCGAGTCGCCCTCGCACCGCCTCTTCAACCTCCTGAGCGTCGTCCTCGCCGTCTGCGGCGTCTTTGTCATCGCGTACGGCGACGCGACGGGCTCGCCCGACGGCGAGGGCGCCAATCGGCTCATCGGCAACGGCCTCGCCCTGTTCGGTAGCATCGCCTATGCCGGCTACGAGGTCTGGTACAAGATCCACGTGCGCCCCGCTTCCCTCCTCCCCTCTCGTTCGACCTGAACCTCGACCGACGCTCACCCTCGACTGCCCGCAACAGATCGCGCTCCCCGACTCGACGCCGGACGACCAGCCCTTGACGCCCATCCTCCCCGTCCACCAGCGACAATCCTCGCGCCGGCCTCTCCTCGCGCACGGCGCGCCCTCGCCGTCGTCGGCCGCTCGCGCAGCCGGCACGCCCGACACGCTCGCCGCCGCGATCGACGACCTCGACTCGCGCCCTGCGTCCGACTCGGACGACGACGACGACGACGACCGCGAGGACCGTGGGCCGGCGAGCGAGACGAGCAGCCTGCTCAACTCGCCCGTCAGGACGCCGACTCGGTCGGGCAGCCCCGTCGGCGGCCACAGCTCGAACCTGTCGTCGTCTTCGCGCGCTGCGCCGGCGCCGCCCACTCGGCCTCGGCTCGGCGTCCCTCGTCGCCTGTCGCACGCGGCAACCTCGCCGCGCCCACCTCGCGCGAGCCCCACCCTGTTCCTCCTGTACTCGAACGTGCTCACGTCCCTCATCGGGCTGTGCACGCTCCTGTTCCTGTGGATCCCGATCCCGCTCCTCCAGCTCGTCGGGTGGGAGGACTTTGAGTGGCCGCCGGTCGAGGCGAGGTGGGCGCTCGCGGGCATCATCGCGTCGGGCGTCGGTGCGTCCTCGTCTCTCTCTTCTCTCGCGTCAAGAACGAGCGCTGGACTGACTCGAGCTCGTTGCGGCCGCACACAGTGTTCAACGGCGGCTTCATGCTCCTCATCTCGCTCCTCGGCCCCGTCATCGCGAGCGTCGCCAACCTCTTGACCCTCATCCTCGTCGCCGCGGCCGACGCCCTCTTTGTCCCCTCGGCGCCGCCCATCACGCGCAGCACGCTCCTCGGCGGCGGCATGATCGTCACGGCGTTTGCGGGCCTGATCGCGGGCGAGGTGAGGAGCCACCAGCAGCACGCCAAGGGGCGAGGGGCCGACGAGGTGGACCAGCGGTAGAGCGTCGGGCGTTGCATTGGCATTTATGGCATCCTTCTCGAGCCAGTTGCGAGCTTGCGCGGTCGAGAGAGGACGAGCCGCGGAGGCGCGCACGAGCACTCGAGAAGCTCTCCCTGAGCGTGCTTGAGCACCTCGACGCCGGAGCAGCAAGCTCGGCTAAGCTGCTGAGCGGTCCAGCTGTACACAGGACGAAGCTGAGCGTTGTGTAGAGGACTCGAAGCCGAGAGCCTGGTGATGAGAAAGAGAGCGACGACGGGGGTCGGCGAGTGAAGCTCGACCGCCGGATGGTGATCAAGACTGCCGACCGCCTCGCCAGACCAGCAAGCAGGTCTGTACAGCGGGAGGGGGGCGAGCTGGACGAGGGCGAGCTCGAGGAGGAGGGTGGGCGAGCGGCTCGTCTGCTCTCATTCTCGTCGACTAGCTCGAGCTTGCACCTGCTGCAGCTCTCTGCAGTACAGACCGTTGGCTAGTCAGCCAGTCCAGCCGCCGCCACTCCTCCGCGACCTCAGCGCCTCTCGACACCGCCTCCTCCCCCTTTCCCCGTTCGACCTCGCCCGCCATGCCCGCCAGCATCCTCAAGAAGCGCCCAGGCGCATCAGCATCCACCAAGCGCGCCCCTTCGCCACCCGCCGCACCCTCGTCTGGCGAGGACGACTACAGCGACGCCAACGACTCGGAGGAGGACGAGTGGGCCGCCGAGCGCACCCACGCTGGCCCGAGCCGCTCGCGCTCGTTCGAGCAAGACGACGACGACGACGACGACGACGACGAGATGGGCGAGGCGGGCAGCGACGGCGACGAGGAGGACGGCGTTGCGGCGTACGAGAGCGACCAGGGCGAGCTGATCGAGGACGACAGCGACCCAGAGGTGCGTCCCTCGAGTCTCCTTTTCCGCTACCGCGAGCCTGACTGACCTTATGACGACGCAGGCCTCGATCGGCAAGCGTGCGCCCACCCTCTCCCTTCCTCTCGCGCTCGTCAACCTCGGACTGACCCTCTCATCTCGCCCGCAGAGCTCGCCGAGATCCCGTTCACGTCGCTCCTCAAGGCGCAGAAGCAGCTCAAGAAGCAGCAGGGCAAGAGCGGGGGCAAGGGCAAGGCGCGCGACGAGGACGAGGGCGAGCCCGACGAGGAGCAGAGCGCGGGCCGGCACGGCAGGGCGAGGAAGGGCAAGGGCAAGGGGCGGGCAGAGCACGAGGGCAGGTCGAACAAGCACGCGTGCGTCTTCCCGTCTCTCTCCCCCTCGGCCTCTTCGTCACGTTGCCGGATGAAGTACTGAAGCTCGAGCGCCCCGCACAGCCCGACCGAGATGTCGGCCAAGCGCCCCGTCTCTCGCGTCCGTCAGGTCGTCGAGACGCAGACGCTCCACGCGCGCGACCCTCGGTTCGACGCCCTGTCGGGCTCGGTCAACCCGCACCTGTTCAAGCAGTCGTACGGGTTCCTCGCCGACAAGCAGCGCGCCGAGCTCGACACGATGCGCAAGACGGCGGCCCAGGCGCGCAGGAACCGCGCCCTGCCCGAGGAGGAGAAGGAGCGCATCGAGGAGGCGCTGCGCAGGATGGAGAACCGCGACGTGACGCGCAAGATGAAGGAGCGCGAGCAGGAGGCGATGAAGTCGTGGAAGAAGGAGGAGCAGGACAAGCGCGCTCAGGGCAAGAAGGCCTTCTACCTCAAGGAGTGTGCGTCCCTCTATCCCTTGATCTGCCTCGGTCCTCTCCCTCGTTCGTCCTAACGGACGCTGACTCGCCCTCGTCGCCCGCCCGCAGCCGAGCGCAAGAAGCTCTTCCTCAAGGCCAAGTTCGACGAGCTCTCGACCGACAAGCGCAAGCTCCACAAGGCGATCGACAAGAAGCGCAAGAAGACGGCGCAGAAGGAGAAGAAGGCCATGCCCAACATGCGCCCGAGCACCGGTCGTTGACCTTTGTCCGTCCTCGTCCTCGCGTTCTGCAACGAGGCCCTCTCGCTCTCTTTCTCTCGGTCGCACTCGAGAGAGATCACGGAAAGCGCTGCACTGCGTACGAGTCCTCAAGCTACTGCTGCCCCCTCCCTCGCCCCCTCACTCGTCGCGACCGGGAACGAGCGCGATGGCCGGAATGCCGATCGAGCGCGGCGGGCGCGCGTGCTGCGCCTTGACGGCGGAGCGATAGATAGAGCAGAGCTGTGCGCGCGACGTTCACCAATCAGTCCGGGCCTGCAGAGCAGAGAGAACCGAACGAGGGAAAGAGGCCGACTCACGACCGAACGAAAGTCTTGCTCTTTGCGACCGTGCCCACCGCCCGGCATGTTGCTCCACTGGACCCACCCACCCTCGACGTCGAGCACCTCGTCGAGGTCGTCCGGTTCCGCCACCTCGTCGTCGAGGCCGGCGGCATCGCACATGGCGACGACGGCGTTGCTCACCTCGAGCGGGAGCGCGATGCGGAAGTGCGGCTCGCCGTCGGCGTGACCGAGATCGTGCGACGAGGGAAGGAGGTAGTCGTGCGCCTCGTGCTGGTGGAAGAGGACGTCCCACAGCGAGCCGAAGAAGGTCGGGCGGACCGGGACGAAGTTGGGCGTGCCCTTGCGGCCGATCGCAGGGTGGCGGCAGTCGTCGACAGCGCACATGACGCTCGACGTGAGAAGCTTGAGGAACTCGTCGTCGTACTGGTCGTAGGCGTCGGCGTCCGAGTCGAGCTCCTCGTCGTCGGGCAGGTCGAGCGTGTTGGACAGGACGAGCTGGACGACGTGCAGGCGCAGGGTCGTGCGCCACTCGTTGAGGTCCTCGTCCATGCCCTCCTGGGCCGCGTCGATGGCGTGCTGGTCGATGACGGCGTCGTGCGGCTGCCACAGGGCGCGAACCGAGGGGAAGAGGAGGAAGTCGGCGAAGAGCGGCGTGAGGACGATGGCCTCGGCCGACGGCTGGCGGTTGCGGAACGACTGGTAGACGGGGACGAGGGCTTGGCGACGCAGAGCTTGCGCCTCGGCCTTGGCGGCGGCGAGACGTTTCTTGCGAGAGGCGGCGAGGACCTTGAGCACCTTGGGCTTGAGCGCCTTCCACTCGGCGTCGTCGACCGTGTCGAGGCCGCGGTTGACGACCTTGTCCGAGAGCCACACGCTGCAGAAGCTGCGAGAGAGGCGACGAACGAGAGGTCAAGATGGGTCCGTGCGGGCGGAAAGAGAAGTCGACGCACTCGTCCTTGGACCACTTCTCCTCGTCGCTCAGGGCGAGCACGCGCTCCTCGAGCCTGCACAGGCACGATGTCAGTCTCTGAGATGAGGTGAAGGAATAGACGAGGGACGCACGCTTCGCGCCTCGCAATCGAGGTCCCGTCCTCCTCGTGCCCGTGCTGCGTCGCCTCGCGCGCATACAGCTTGCCGAGCGCGACGAAGAGCGCCTCGCCCTCCTGTGAGACCAAGAAATACGACCACTCAGTGCCACCATTCGAGACGACGAACGAGAGGCAAGGAGAGCGAGACTCGGACGCACCTGCTCAATCCTCGCGCACGCACCCCTCCTCTTCTTGACGTACGCCGTGACGCGCTCGCCCCACTCGCCCTCGCCCCTCCTCGGCAGCTCGTCGTACGTGCCCTGCCCGCCGCCCTTGTGGCCAGCGCCCGCCCTCGAGCCCGACTTGGGCGACCGCGCGGCGAACTTGTCGGCGTAGTACGCCTCGTCGGCGGCGTCGTCCTTGTCCTGGAAGCGCCACAGGATGGTGCTCTCCGACTCGAGGTCGGGCAGGAAGCCGTGGCGGACTGTGGCGAGAGGATGCCGTGAGCGAGGGGAAAGACGAGGACGAGGCGGTAGAGAAAGGAGGGACGCACGCTTGCTGCGGACCTGGTGCAGGTCGTCGAGCGACTCTGTGTGCGCATCTCGTCGTCAGTCTCGGCTCGACGTAGCAGAGCGAGAGAGAAGCGGGCGTACGACGAGTCTGAATGACGCAGTCCTTGACGGCGCCGTGCAGGTCCGAGTCGATGTCGTCGAGGTGGTCGAGGCGGACGATGCTGCGCGCACGACGAGGCATCAGGTCACTGATCATCTTGGTGGAAACAGTGCGGAACGAGAACGCACTTCTCGGAGCGGCAGGGCTTGCAGAGGCGCATGCGGAGGAAGGCGTCGGGCCAGCGCTGCGAGGGCTTGCCGCAGAGCTGCAGGGGTTCGCTCAAAGTCAGGCGTCCGCTTGCTCGTTCAGAGAGACAGGGAGAGAGTGGACGCACGACGCAGTGCTTGCCGTGAGCGAGGCCGGCGTACCCAAACTCGAACCAGTCCCACCCGCCCTGCTCGAGGTCGGGCAAGCCGTCGGCCTCGCGCGCCGCCGCCCAAATGTCGTCCATCTGGTCGAGCATGACCGTGTTGCGGTAGTGCCGCGAGAGCTGCGCGACGGCGAGGAGCGCGCCGAGAGGAAGGTGGGCGAGGATCTGTGGGACGAAGCCGCGAGGGTCAGAAACGAGGACAATAGAGGATGAGTGGGTGCGGCAGGGACTCACGTTGACGAGCAAGTTCTGCGGTAGGCTCTTGAGCAGGTCGTGCTTGTGCTTGTGCGCCTTGGCCTTGTGCCCGCCGCCGCCCGACTTCAACTCGCGCTTCTTCGAGCGCTTGTGGGCCTTGGCCGGCTTGAGCACGGCGCGGTCGAGCTCGTCGGCCCTCGAGAGGAGGTCGCTGTCGGACTCGGCGCTGTTGCCGTCGTCGTCAGAGGACGAGGCGAGCTGGTCGTCCTCGTCGTCCGAGTCGTCCGAGTCGACTGAACGGCCGTGGCCCGAGTCGCGGCGGTGCGACTTGTGGTGCTTGTTCTTGGCTGCAGGGCACAGACAGGCTGGTCAGCGAGCGGTCCCGTGCGCTGTACGCCGGCTTGGAGAGCGAGGGAGATGAGGCGCGACTGACCGGCTCCACGAGCTTCGCGCCCATCGCGCTGGTAGGCGGCCTCGAGGGCGAGGAACTGGACCGGTGTGGTGTACGACACGCGCGCGTGGCGCCTGCGCGGCATGGCGAGTGTTGGTGGGAGGAGGAGGGAGGCGAGGAGGCAAAACGCGGGGGAGAGGGAGCGTGCGTCGATTTCTCGAGCGGGGGCTTCGTAGCGCGCGCCGTACGACGACAGCGAGGAAACGACAGGCTCGACTAGTATGACAACAGATGAACTATCAACAAGTTGTCCTCGCCGCCCTCGCTCAGGCCCCGACCCTCCTCTCGAGCCCGCTCAGCACGCCGACAAAGACAGCGACCGCCTTGGTGCACTCTGCCCAGTCGCGCTCTGTCGGCTCAGGCTTGGCGTAACGGGCGCGGACGAGGTGCGACTCGTACAGGTCGGCGAGCGGGCGCAGCGCGTCGGGGAGAGGCGAGGCGGAGGAAGGGAGGGCGAGGAGCGGCGCGAGGGGGGACAGGGGTGCCGAACGAGGGTTGCTCGACGGGTAGGCGGCGAGGAGGGCCGGGTAAAGGGGCAAGAGGGCGGCACCTGTACGAGGGTCGAGCGTCAGTTTCGTTCGGGACGGCGAGTGCGCGCGCAAAAGGGACGGACGCAAGGCCGGAATTGTCGCGAGGATGGCCGAGCGGAAGTTGACGTCCTCGCAGCTCGTCCCTGCGATCGCGGTCGAGAAGAAACTAGTCAGTACGCGGCACGCCCGAGACGTGCGCGCCCTGACGAGAGAGTCAGACTTTGGACGCACCTGGTCGCCCCCAACCGGCCTGGTTGCGCCCGCTCGGCTGCGCCACCTTGGTGATGATGCACGCGCGCTCGTACTCGTTCTGGATGAGCTCGCTCGCTTTCTGCGGACCGGCGAGGGCGAGTCAGTTAGAGGCAAGGCGAGAATGGGGCGAGGCAGGGGACGCACCTTGGGAACGTCGGTCGACTTGGTCGGGAGGTAGCCCTTGGGGATGGCGATGATGGCGCGCTTGTTGGCGACGGCACGCGTGATGACGAGGATGAGGCCGAAGATGATCTGCGCGTGTGGGAGGAGGAAGGGGACGAGTCAGTGCGGGCTCGAGGACAGAGGGGCAGGAGGAGCTGAAGGAGAGACTGACGACGCCGGCGTACGTGCCGAAGGTGATGCTCAGGTCTGCGACCTTTGAGGCCCGGTTCGAGTAGATGAACGAGTGGCCAATGTCGACGAGGCCGACGAGGAGGACGAAGAGGGTGAAGAGCAAGAGGCAGTAGTTGGCGATGGTGGTGACGACGTTCCACCAGCGGATCGGGCGTCGGTGCGGGTACTTTGACGGCGGACGAGCGGTTGCAGGAGTGTTCCACCAGCGCATCGTGCGGCGGTGCGGGTTCCTTGCAGGTGGGCGAGCAGTTGGAGGAGGGCCGAACGAGAAGGCGCGCGGGACGCCCGCGCGCTGACGGGTCGACATGGCCGACGGTGCTGTGCGCACAACAGGTGTGGCGGCTGGCCCTCTAGCGGTCGAGGTCGCGAGGCTCGGGTGGGGTGGTGAAGGGCGGAGAGAGCGGCGACGACGACGACGACGAGGTTGCGCTTCCTACCTCGACCCTGCTCTGCCCAGCGACTCGCACAGGTACTCGAGTGCTCTCCATGAAGGCCACCCTCGAGCTGTTCGCGTCGGCAGCCCCCGCCCGCACCTCTCGCCTCGCCCGCACTCCTCATCTCCCGCTCGACTATGTCCGCCCGTCTCCCTCCCCCGCAACCCCACCGAGCGCCTGACTGACTCGCCCATCTCACTCCCGACACCGCAGTTCATCCACCGCGCGAGCTCGCTCGCCCTGTACCGCCAGTTCATCCGCGCCACCCGATCCCTCGGAGACGTCGACGCCAGGTGGGAGACGGTCCAGTGGGTCCGCAAGGACTTTGAGCGCTACCGCGGCATGGTCGACTCGGTACGTCCTCTCTCTCTCTTCGTCTCGAACCGTGGTGCGCCCGACCGCAGACTGACCTCGCTGAGCGCACGCAGGAAAAGTCCAAGACGCTCCTCGCCCTCGGCCAGCGCCAGCTCAAGCAGCTACACGCTACGGGCAGCTTGATCGGCGGCGACAGCGCAAAGTGGCGCGGCAGGCGCTCGGCAAAGTGAGCCGGCGCCGCACGAGCGGCCGTCCTGAGCCGCTCGGGCTCGTCACGGACGAGACGAGGCGGCCGAGTAACAGTGCGCTCGCCCCCTCGCCCTCCCTTTTGACCTCCCGACTGATTCTCAGCTTTACAGGCTCCTCTCGGTCGCTCAGCAGCAGGCGGCGCCAGTCGCTTGTCCCGGATTCGCTCGACCTGGTCGCCCCCGTCTCCCGTCCTCGCCCGGCCGCCGTCTCGACCTGAAGCACGCCCACACCGCGCCGTCACTACCTTTGCTGAGGACGACAACGAGCAGTCGAAGCACGGGCTCGTCAAAGTCTCGGCGCTGCAGGGCCGGCCGACGACTCGCGTGCGCAGGAGGGACTCGCTCAGGGTGCAATTGCAGGACTCGTTAAGGACCCCCTTCCGTCAGAGAGCAGCAGAGTGTCCGAACGAGAGCCACTGAGAGCACGCACACGAGGATCAAGCAATGCAGTCGCCACGAGAGGACCTCTGGCGGCCGCCGCCGAACTGTGTCGTCCCACCGCCGCTTTTCAAACCACCGCGAGCCAGCGCGTTCACCTGCGAGAGCTCTCTAGACTCTCTGCGCGCACCCCTGCGCACCATGCTCGTCGGCCCAGGGCGACCTCGTCTCGCCGCCGCCTCATCACTCCTGTCGACTTTGGGCCGTCGACTCTCCCCGACGCCGGCACTCGTGGGCGCGCGCCCGCTCCGCAGCAGCCCGACATGGTCGAACAAGCCCGCGAGCAAGCCGCGACCCGTCCTCGACCTGTTCCTCGGCCCTTCCGCTTCCCCCTCCTCCCCGTCCTCCTCATCGCCCGACCCCTCGTCGCCGTCCACGGCCGCCACCCCTTCTGCGCCGGCGCAGCCCCCTCGGCACGCGACATCCGCACCTCTCCCCTCAGCTCCCGCCGACTCTCGGGCACCCGCCATCGTCCCGGCCCGGCGCGGCATCCTCGCCTCGCTGTCGCGCCTGCGCAGCGGCTCCCTCTTCCACAAGCCGCCTCCCTCGGCAGGTCCGGGCAAGGCCGGTTACGTCGACCTCGAGGAGGAGCGCCGAGCGCGCGAGCGCAACCTCGAGACGGCCAAGGCGCTCGAGCGCACGCTGCGCTCGTCCCGGGGCGCGGGCGCGTCGGGCGCACACGGCGGCGGGCTCGACGTGCGGTGCACGACGCTCGACGCTCAAGGCGCCGTGTCGAGCATGGCGGCGCACGTCCCCAAGGAGGTCCTGTGTCGCAAATTCAACATCCAGCCGCGCGACCTGCGCAAGCTCGACTCGGCCGCGGGCGCCAACGTCGTCGTGCCGACCATCCTGAGCCGTCGCGACTGCGTCATCTTGACCGTCCTGCACTTGCGCATGGTCATCACGGCCAAGGAGGTCACCATCTTTGACTCGGTCGGCTCGGAGGACAGGTGCGCCTCCCCTCCCCTTCCCTGCTTCCTGGCCCTTGCCCGAGCCTCTCACTCACGCCCGATATCACCTCGTGCAGCTGGCTCAAAGGCGTCTTTGTGTGGTCGCTCGAGCACGCCCTCAAGACGACGGGCAAGGCGGCGCATGGACTTCCTTACGAGTTTCGGGCTCTCGAAGCAGGTGCGTCACGCACTATCTCTCTCTGTCTTCCCACGTCTCACTGCGAGACGAGTTCCTGACGAGCGAGGTGCTCCTCCCACAGCTCTCATCAACGTCGTCACGGCCCTCGAGACGGACCTTAACAACATGCGCAGCCACGTCGTCGAGCTCCTCGCCCACATGGAGGAGAACATCGACCGCGACAACCTGCGCCTCTTGCTGCACTACAGCCGCAAGCTGAGCATCTTCCAGAAGCGCGCGACGCTCGTCCAAGAGTGTCTCGATGAGCTTTTGGCCAACGGTGCGTCGGCTCGTCCTTTCCCCTTGCCTCCTCGGGCTGCAAGCCGACGCCGCCGAGCAGCCTCGAGTTGTCAAGAGACGTTCTCAAGGTTGAGCTGCCGCGCCGCGACGAGCCCGACCGAGCGCCCGACCTGACCACCTTCTCGCCTCGCCCGCAGACGATGACCTGTCGGGCATGTACCTGACGGCCAAGGTGCAGGGCAAGCCTCGAGCGTCCAACGATCACGAGGAGGTCGAGCTTCTCCTCGAGGCGTTCTCGAAGCAGTGCGAGGAGGTCGTCAGCGAGGTCGAGACGCTCGCCGTACGTCCCTCTCTCTCGCTCTCTTTCCTCTCTCTTTCCTCTCTCGAATCCTCTTTTTTTGGCTCGTCGTCAACGAAGCGAGCCCTGACGATCCTTCTGTCGATGTGCAGGCCAACGTGCGCCACACCGAGGACATCGTCGAGCTCATCCTCGACGCCAACCGCAACTCGCTCCTCGGGCTCGACTTGCGCGTGAGCATCATGACGCTCGGCCTCACGGCGGGCGCCATGGTTGCTGCTCTCTTCGGCATGGTACATCGACCATTTTCCTCTGTCCTCGTCCTCCCTTCTCGCGAGCAAACCTAACTGACCCTCGCCGTCCTCGTCGCGCAGAACTTGACCTCGCACCTCGAGTCGCACCCCTACGCCTTCCCGCTCATCTCGCTCTCGACGTTCGCCTTTGCCGCCTTGATCGCGTCGTACGGCTTGCGTCGCCTCGCGCAGCTGCGCCGCGTCGGGCTCGGGTGGCGCGACGAGGTGCGCCAGGTCGGCGACAAGTGGGTCCGAGGCGGACGCGCGAGGGCGAGGTCGCGCAGGAGGGACTGAGCGCGGCTCTCGACGTCGTCGTCGCTGTCGTCGAGCAGGTGGACCGAGGATAGAAGGAGCTCTCGAGGGACCCGCTCGTGTAGAAAAGTAGACTCATCCTCTCGCGCTCGCTGTTGTTGCCAATCAAAACCCCGCTCTCGCTCCTCTCGTCGACCCGAGCCACTTTCGAGAGCTGCAGTCCAGTCGAGGCGATCCGTCAAGTGCACGAGAAGGACAAGTGTCTACGGCGAGGAGAAGATTAAGGAGGCTAACAGGAGGAGGGTATCGACCAGCGACAGCCGAGTACAGGAGGGGAGGGGGAGGGGGGAAGACGATATAGACATGAGCGACGAGAACTAGTCGTCATCGGCGTTGACGACCCTGAGCTCGCGCTTCGGGGCGAGCCCGGTCGAGATGAACGTGTCGAAGCCGCGAGTTGTTTCCTCGACGTCGTCGCTGCGAGCGAGGGGGAGTGTGAGCGTCTCGCAGGATGGAGCGGATGCGGGAAGAGAGAAGGACGAGCGGGAGAGAGAGAAGGAGAGAAAGAGAGAGAGAAAAAGAGATAGAGAGAAAGAGAGAGAAAGAGAGAGAGAGAGGACGCACGGTGCTGGGCCGGCGTGCCCGACAGAGCTGCTGCCTCGGCGGTCCCAGGGCGGGTAGGTTGTCGAACTGTACGACTCGCGCGGTCTGCGAGGGACGAGGAAGCGTTAAAGAGATGTGCGAGATACGCAGAGAGAAAGGGAGAGCGGGACGCACCCAAACTTTTCCCCCGCGAACAAGTGACTTTGCGAGCTGCCCGAGTCGCTGCGGCCCGTCGCCGCGTTGGCGGCGATGAGCGCCTTCTCGTGCTCGGCCGCCTCGCGCTCGCTCTTCTTCTTGCGGTAGACGAGGAAGAACCACGCGAGGCCAAGGAGGGCGAGCGCGGCGATGCCGCCGACGACGCCGCCGACGATGGCGCCGAGGTTGGACCCGCTCCCTCCTCCGCCGCCGGTGCCACCTCCTGCTGCGCCGCCAGGGCCCGTCGACGTCTCGTCGGTCGAGCCCGACGTGTCGGGATCGTCCGAGCCGTCGCCGCCGGTCGCCGAGCCCGCGCCCGACGTGCTGTACCCGGTCCCGATGCCGCCCGTGATGTTGGCGACGATGGCAGGCGTCGAGAAGATCGAGTTGGCCTTGTACTCGCTCGCCCAGGTCATCGAGGACGTGTTGAGGACCTGCGAGGCGGGGCGAGGAAGGGGTCAGTCGAGGCGCGAGTGAAAGAGGGAGAGAGAGAGCGAGAGAGACGCACAAAGATGCCCGGCTGCTCACACAGCACGTCGTCCCTCGTCAAGCCCCCGACGACGATGAGCTGGTCGCCCGAGATCGCGCACTGGTGCCCTGCTCGACCGGTAGGTGCGCCGGGCAGTTCGCCGACGTCTGTCCACGTGTACTTGTCGTCGGCGATCGTGAGGACGTAGATGCGCGAGTCCCGATCCGTCTGGTTGAGGCGCTGACCGCCATAGACTGCGAGGCGAAGGAAAAAGTCAGGAAATGGCGGAAGTGGGAGACAGAAAGAGAGAGGAGGGAGAAGACGACGCACTGATGATGTTGTGCGTCTGCTTGCCGTGCACCTTGGCGCTGCCACGCACGGCGCAGTGGTTGATGCGAGAGCCGAACCGAGCGCCGAGCGTGCTCTGCTTGGTCCAGCCGGAGCGCCCAATGTCGAACACGTCAAGCGTCGAGCCGTCCTCGACGTACTGCGTCTGGGTGGCGCCGCCGATCGAGACGAGGATGCCCTTGCCGTCGGTGCCGAGGTTCGGGACGTAGGTGAGCGAGCCGTCGGCGCGAGAGAGCGGGTTGCTCTCGGGCGTCGACGAGTTGGACGTGACGGCGTCGGACGAGTACGACGAGATATTGGAAAATGTCGAAGAGCCGAGGTCGAACTTGATCATCGAGTTGAGGAACAGTCGAGCGACTTGATTTGACCAGCCCTCGGTCGTGTGGTCGTCGAGGTGGCCGTAGCTGTCTGCGAGGCGGCGGCGGAAACGAGTCAGGGCCGGCCGACGCAGCGAGAGAGAGGCGAGGCGGCGGCGGAAACGAGTCGGGGCCCGCCGACGCAGGGAGAGAGAGAGGCGCGACGAAAGCGTGGACGCACAGTACGCCACGTTGTCGCCATATGTTCCTTGGTCGGGCACGATCGCGGGTTGGCCCTCGGCGGCATTGCCGACCTCGTCGCCCTGCGTGTCGACGATGGACCACTCGCCCGACTCGTACTAAGCTCTCATGTTTCACGTACTAAGCTCTCATGTTTGAACAATAAAATTAATATAAATCAGCAACTTAAATAGCCTCTAAGGTTTTAAGTTTTATAAGAAAAAAAAGAATATATAAGGCTTTTAAAGCTTTTAAGGTTTCACCTCGACGAGCTTGAGCGGCGGCGTGCCAGTCGCCCAGTCTGCGGGAGCGTACCGAAGGGTCAGTACAGAGTGCTCTCGCGCCGCACGATGTGCGCAAGCGCCTGGCTCGGCGACTCGCTCCTCCAGTTCTCGGCCGTCATGAGGATCGAGGGACGCACCTTGGTCGAGAGGAAGAGCGACGAGCGCGTTGGTCCACCAGTCGGACGTCTGGCTCGACTCGAGCTTGGACTGGCCGCCGTAGTACCACAGGGTCGAGGCGGACGACGAGCCGTTGGACGACGAGGTGCCGGCGGCGTTGGCGACGGCCATCTGGCCGCTCCAGCGGAAGCACGGGGTGGGCTGGGGCTGCTGCTGTGCGCTGGTGAGTGCTGCTGCGGTGGCCCATGTGGCCCAGGCGAGCGGCGAGGCGACGGTGCTGCGGGTCGTTCGACAGCGCTTGGCGGAGAAGGCGGTGAGGGAGGAGGCGCCCGCCGAGAGCGAGGGCGAGCGGGTGGGGTGCCGAGCGGGTGGTGCGTGCATCGCTGCAGGTCGTGCGCAGCTGTGCGAGGCTGTCACGGTAACAGTGGAGGAGGGAGGGCCAGCCAAGTCGCCGTTGGCGACTGCGCCGTCACCACCTTTCTCTCGGCGTACGTTGCTTCTCGGGACCGCACGCGCAGCTCGCAGTGTACCAGACCACCCACACGGCCCACCCACCCTGGCGAGAGCTTCGAGAGAGGAGCGAGCGCCGTCGTACGTCGTCCTCTGCTCCCCACCTTGCACCGCCCCGCTCTTCTCGCCTCCACGCTTGCCGTTCGAAATCGTCGACGCGACGAGCTAGATTCTCGCAACACGCAACGGTCAGCTGCGAAAGCGACCAATCGGTCTTTCTCGAGACCAAGACCAAGCAGTACTATGTACTCCGCTCTCGAGCTGTTCTCGCGCTCGAGCCGCTCTTCGTCGCAGCTCTCGTTTCGCATCGCGACGCTCGACCTCGGTACAGACATCAAGCTTGACATTGCGCGCACGAGGATAGGAACGAGAGAGAGAGGAAAGAGAGACAAAGGGGGGAGGGAGAGAGAGGGAAAGAAAGCGACGAAGACGACGACGAGCGCGCGCGCCTCCTCACATGGGCCTCTGCGGCGGCCCGTCGCCGCCGATGCGCTGTCCCGACGAGCCGCTGTTGAGCAGGGCCATGAGGTCGGCGCCCGGGTTGGTGCCGCCGGTGAACATGGGCGGCGGGTGCGGCATGCGGCCCTGCAGGTGGTGCGGCGGCGGCGGCGGCGGCGGGAAGGGCATGCCGCCCGGCGGCGGCGCCATCGCTCCTCCCGGGCCAAACATCATCTGCGGCGGGAGCGAGGCGCCGGGCGGGAAGAACGGCGGCCGCCCGGGGCCGCCGTTGGGCGAGATGCCGTTCGGGCTCGCGAGGGGCGGCGAGAGCGGGCCGTTGGGGCGGGCGAGGGGCGGCGACGTGAAGGGAGGGAGCATGCCCGGGTGCGGCGGAGGAGGAAGAGGGCGCCCGTCGGGCGCGAAGCCAAAGTGCGGCGGGGCCATGCCGGGCGGGAGCTGCCCGGGCATCGACGGCGGGAAGCGCTGGCCGTAGAACTGCGGCGGCATGCCCGGCGGCGGCATCGGCGGACCCTGCGGCGCGAACTGAGGCGACATGCCGTTCGGGCCGTGGCCCTGGTGCGGCAGCTCGCCGTTGACGGCCGGCGCGCGTCCTCCTTGGGGACGAGGCTGCTGAGGCGAGCGCGAGAGCGACGGCGCGGGGCTGACCGCCGGCTGCTGTTGCAGCGACGCGTGGCCGAGGCCTGGAGGTGGGGCCGGGGCCGACAGGAACGGCGACTGGAGCCCGGGCGGCGCAGGAGGTGCAGGCGTGGCGGGCGAGGCGATGGTCGACTTGCTCGAGAAGTTGAACCGGCTCGAGGCCCGGCCCTCCTCGACCGTCCTGCCCGACGTGCTCGTCGGAGCGGGAGACGCGACGGTCGACGGGGCCTGCGACGGCAGCGGCGACGGCGACACGGCGGGATGCGGAGCGGGAGACGCCGAGGCGTCCTTGCCGACGAGCGGCGACGAGCTCCTTGCGCCCGACACCTGCAGCATGCCGAGCAGGCGCGCCATGCTGTCCGAGTCCTCCTTGGTCGGCCCTGCGCCGCCGCCGCCGCCGCCGCCGACGCCGCCGGGCGCGCTCGGGCCCTCGCTCGCGCTCGCGGCGGTGCCGAGGAGCGAGCTGAAGGCGCTCGCCGGCGGCTGCTGCGCCGCCTGCTGCTGTGGCGACGCTTGACCGGCAGGCTTGCCGTCGAAGAAGCGGGCGAAGCGCGACCCGCGACCGCCCTCGGCGGCGACGGCGGGCGACGCCGAAGCGTTGCCCTCGAGGCCGAGCCCGGGCAGCGGCTGCGACGAGCGCGCGATGCCGAGGTCCTCGAAGATCGATTTGGCGGCCGGCGCCTCGTGCGCGGGCCGCTCGGTGGCCGACGACGACGCCGGGCGCTCGTCGTCGATGGGCAGGCCCGCCGCGCGCAGCTCGCGCTCGCGGTCCTTGCGCTCGCGCTCCTTCATCTGCGCCTTGAACGCCTGCAGGCTGTCCATGCCGTTCTTGCCCGCGCCCGAGCCGAACGACGAGAGCGGCGAGAGCGGCGACTTGGCGAGCTTGTCGCGCGCGGCGGCCGCCTTGTCCTCGCCGTCGCGGACGTGGCCGGTCCCGTCGAACGACAGGTTGCCGGACGCCGGAGCGTCCATCCAGGCCGGCGACGAGCCGCCAGGCGAGCCCGAACCCGACGCCGCCGAGTCGTCGTCCATCCACGCCGGGCGGCCTGACCGGCCTGCGGGCCCGTCGCGGTCGCCGCGCTCGCGGTCACCGCGCTCGCCTCGGTCGCGGTCGCGACGGCCTGGCTCGGCGGGAGCGTGCGGGCTTGGCGGCGCCTGGTTGCGGATGAGCCGCTTCTCGCGCTCTGCAGAAGGGGGAAGCACAGAGTCAGTGCGGCTCGGCAGGAGAGAGAGGGGGAGAGAGGTGGGACGCACCCTCCCTGCTCATGCCGACGTTCCTCCAGCCACCCTCGTCGGCCGGGCCGACACCCCTGCGCGCGTCCCGCTTCGACTGCCCCGCCGCGAGCTCGACGTCGTCCCTCGTCCTCAGCTCGCGGTAACCCCTCGCAGCGCCCTCTCCCGCAGCGACCCGGCCCTTGAGCCTGTCGCCGCGCTCGCGCTCGCCGCCGAGGTCGAACCCGCGACGCTCCTTGGTCGGGCTGCTCGGCTCGCCGCCGGCACGGCCGCCCGTCGACCCGCGCAGGTGCGGCGCGACGTCCTTGTCGGCCTCGCGCTCGGCGCCGAGTCCGCCGCGCGCCCTGCGCCGACTGCTGCCGCTCTCGAGCGCCTCGCCGAGCCCGCCGTCGACGCCGAACCGGCCAAAGTTGGCGAACGGCGACGAGTTGGACGCGTCGTTGTGGAGCCGGCGAGCGGGCGCGCGGTCGGCGCGGTCGGACGTGCGGGCGGGAAGGCCGTGGCGCTGCTGCGTCGGAGGCGAAGGCGGATCGGCAAAGTCGCTGTAATAGACGAGGGGCGAGGTCGGTCGTGTGCGGGGACGGCAAGGAGGAGAGGACGGGTGGGAAAGGGAGGCAGGCGGCGGTCAGATCGGCTGCGCGCTGACCGAGACTCGTGTGAGACGTGGAAGCTCACCCATGCCAGTCGGCGAGGTCCTTCATGCCGTCGAGCTTGGCGGGGACGAGCGGGCTGGCATGGAGCGCGAGGAGCTGAGCGCGGGTGTAGACGGCGTTGGGGCGCTGCGACGAGACGATGGCCGGGTCCATGGCTGTTGTATCGGTGGCTAGTCAGCTGTGTTCGGGCTCCAGTGCGGCGAGAGGGACGCACGAGGAGGGGGCATCTTGCGAGCGGGCGATGAGGAGCCGCCGCGGCTTGTGCGCAGTGGACGCGGTCGAGTCGGCGCTGCTGGACCCTGCTGAGGTGTGCGGTACGTCTGGCAAGCAGCTGAGCTCGCTCTGAGGCGCAGAGGCGAGTTGTTGGCGGGCGAAGGCTCGGCCGCTCCTCGTCGACTGTCGACTTGGACCCAGCTCTCGGCTCGCTAGATACGGACAGGTGGGCCCATGGGCCAGAACAACTCTTCATACAGCTACAGCGACAGTCGGTCAGCCTGTTCGAGAGGCGGGTCTTGCTACCCTGGCGCCCGAGCCAGCGCGCCCAGCTCTCGCTCCTCGTCCACACCTCGTCCCTGCTCGTCTACCTGGATCCGCCACAAGGAGTGCTCGAGATGGACCCTCAGGTGCGTCTGCACGCCCTCTCATACGCTCGGAGCGCCTCTGACCCTCTCCCCCACCTGCAGCTCCTCCTCAACTCGTCGTCGTCACCCAACTCGATCAGCCCGCCGCCCATCCTCAAGCTCCCCGACGAGCTCCTCGACGGCATCTTCATCCTTGCCTACGCCGCGCAGGCCCAACGCAGCCTCGCGCGCAAGCCCATCTGCCGCCGCCTGTACCCGTTCCAGCGCGCCAACCTGTACCGCGCCGTCCGGGTCGAGAGCTACGACGCGCTCGCGAGCTTCTGCCGCACCGTCAAGGCTGTCCCTCGTGCGCGCGCGTCCGTCCACGAGCTGCAGCTCGACATGGCCATGTCGGTCAACTCGCGACCGGCGAGCTCGTCGGCGCCGAACAGCGCCGTGCGCGCAAGCGCGGCGGGCGACGTCGGCATGGACCTCGAGAGTTCGGGCGATGAGAGCGATGGCGAGGAGCTCGTCGCCGAGGGCGCGGTCAAGAACGTGCTCATCGTCGGGCCTCGCCGTTTGTCGAACCTGTTCGCTCGCCTCGGCAACCTCAAGGTCCTCAAGACCGCCTGGCTCGACGACGGCCTCCTCGACTTCCTTCTTGAAGACGACGATGAGCTGTTGTGTGCGCGCATCGAGGACCTCGGCATCACGGCCGACGCCGACCACTACCGCTGGTACGGCGACGCGTGGTTGTTCCAGCTCGCCGACTTCGCGCGCCTCAAGTCGTTCACGTTCGAGTTCGTCGACGAGCCGGTCCTGTTGCGGTTCGACGAGCTGTACCCTGTTTTCGGCGCCCTCACCCGCCTGTCGCTCGCCGGCATCGAGTCCGTGCAGTGGGAGGCGCCTGTCCTCGCCGTAGCGATGCCGCACCTCGTCGAACTCGAGCTGCGGGATCACGGCGAGGATGCGTCGTTCGCCGTCATCTTGCGTCAAGCACCTGTCGGGCTCCGCCGTCTGTGCCTCATCTCACGGGCTTGCGACCCGGACGCCGTCGGCGCGTACCCTATGGGTACCCTCGACGACGTCTTGCCGAGGTTCACCCGCCTCGAGGACCTCACGCTGTGCGAGGGCTCGTTCACGGCCGACCGCCTTGGCCCGTACCTCCAGTCGCTCCCCGACATCCACACGCTGTCGTTCGGCCTCGGCGCCGAGGCCGGCGACAGGCTCCTGCGCGACCTCCTCGAGGGTCCGCACCGCCGTCCTCGTCTCCAACACCTCACCCTCGACCACGTCGAGTGCACCCGAGGACCCACGTTCAGGAGCAAAGGCTGTCGGCACCCGCCGGGCCGCCACATCCGCAACTTCTACATGTGGCCCGGCTGGTACCGCGCCTCTTGGCGCTATCCATGCACCGAGGCGGGCGTCGCTGCGGCGGTCAGGGCGGCCAAGGCGAACGGCGTCGTCGTCGACGGTACAGCGCTCGACACGATCGGGTTCGACGACGCGTGGGAGCACGAGATGTTCGAGTGTCTTCTCGAGTACGGGTTCGAGACGGGCGACTATTCGGACGTGCGCGAGTGGGTCGGAGGGCAGGGCCTCGAGGACGTCATTCACGACATGGAGATCATCCGGCGCGAGGTGCTCGAGGGCTTGTGGTAGCGCCAGGAGGAGGCGAGGTGCGATTGAGCTGGTTTGCCCGCTTGAGCACTGCCTCTCGACTTCTGAGAGATGCTCTGCTCAATCGGAGGCGGCGTGCGGCCGTCGAGCGCGCGAGAGGCTCGCCGCCGCTCAAGACGAGCGAGCGGAGAGCTCGCGCTCGATCCTCGTCCGGTCGCACTCGCCCTCTCGGCTGCGATAGTGACGGATCTGCCACAAAGTGTTCTGCGAGCTTGTCTGGAACCTCGGAGAGGCAGGGCAAGCTTGTGGGAGATGACGCCGAGGAGTCCGCCGAGCCATTCTCATCAGCTCGTCGCTCTCCCTCCTCCTCTTCACCCTCCCGGGTCACCTCGAGCGCGATGCCGCCTCGCCGCTCTGCGAGGGCGAAGAGCCGCAAGGCCGTGCCCGCCGAGGTTCCCTCTCCCACCGCGAGCCTCGCCGACGAGAGCGACGTCGACGACCCCGACCGCGCCGGCTCCTCGTCGCCCCGGGGCGGCAGCAAGAAGGCGCGCACGACCAAGGGCAAGGGCAAGCAGACGCCTGTGGACGCGTCGGACACCGGTGCGCCCCCTCTCACGGTCCCTCCTTGCGTCCCTCTCCCTGACCTCGTCCTGCACCGCCTCCCCCACTCGCGCGCGCAGAGAGCCCGCCCAAGAAGCGCAAGACGCAGCCCGGTCCGCCTCGTGCGCCCAAGCACAAGCCCGTCTTCAGCATCGACCTCCTGCTCAAGCTCCCGTTCGACCTCGTCGCCGAGGTGAGCCCGTCCCTCTCCTCCCTCTCCTCCTCCCCCGCTTCTCGCCCGCCAACGAGCGCTGACCGGCTGCTTCCACAGATCTGCTCGCACCTCAACGGCGGCGAGCTCCTCCAGCTCTCGCGCACCTGCAAGACGCTCCGCGAGTTCCTGTACGGGCCGCAGTCGTCGTCCATCTGGGCAGCCTCCCGCCAGCGCCGCGGCCTCGTCCTGCCCGAGGACATGACGGAGCAGCAGCTTGCCGACCTGCTCCACCGTACCACCTGCGTCGTAAGTCCCCTTTGTTTCGACTCCTGCCCTCTCTCGCGCCCGCCTGACCCGGCTGCCTCTGTTTCGCAGATCTGCGAGGGAGACTGGGCGTACGCGACTGTCTACTACCTGCGCACGTTCCTCTGCTGGACTTGCGAGAAGATCAAGTGCGTCCTGGATCTCTCCCTTCCCTTCATGCCGCCCGCTCACGCACTTGCTCGCCGGCAGGTTTATCCAGGGCAGCAAGATCCGCAACGGGCTCCAGGGCTTGCACCCGCAGGCTCGTCAGTGTGTCCGCTACGACCGTACGTCCATCCTCCGCAACTCGATCCCGAGCGACAGCGTCCCTGACTCGCCTCGCCGCCGACAGCCGGCCGCCTCGATCAGCCCAAGGCCAAGTGTGCGTCTCGAGCCAGCCTCTCCTCCTCGAGGCCCGCCAACCGCTCACGACCTCGCGTCCTTGCAGACACCTACGTCATCCACGAGCTCTGGGCAGAGAGCGCCAAGCTGTACGAGCTCGCCGAGCAGGACGAGGCGGTCGCGCACGCGCACGGCGCCTCGCGCTCCAAGAAGTCGAAGCGGGCCAAGGGCGCCAGCAGCGACGTTCCCGGCGCCGATTCGCTCGCCAAGTACGTCAAGGAGAAGGAGGAGTGGGTCGAGAGGGGGCAGGCGGTGCGTCGTTGCTGTCCTCCCCCTCGTCGTGCGCCTCGCGCGAGCGCGGCTCATCATTCGTTGCACCTCGACAGGTGTCCCAGTCGCTCCACGACGCTATCCAAGCCGAGCTTCGTGCTCGTCAGCAGCTCATCGAGGACGAGAACAAGCGCAAGAGCGACGAGCAGCAGGCCAAGATCGCCGAGTACGTCCTTTTTCTTCCTTTCGGCACTTTTGCCGTCTACAGGCCCACCTGATACTGACAGCGAGCCCACTTTCTCCTACAGCTTCCACCGCAACCTCCGCAACGAGCACGACTGGACCGAGGCCGAGACGACGTGGCTCGGTGCGCGCCTGTACCACCTCCAAGCTCCGAGGACGGTGCCTGATGTCGACCCTGCCGGTACGTCCTCGCTTTTCCCTCTCTCCTTCCCCCTCTCTCGCTCTCCCTCTCTCTATCTCTCCCCGTCCTGTCAAATGGCAGGGTACTGACTGAGCTCGACCGCAACAGGGTGGGCGGCGTTCCGCATCCTCGTCAAGTCCCAAATCGCCCGCGAGGCGACCGCGACCGCCGCTCGGCTCGCTTTCGAGACTCGCCGAGACGCCATCAAGCCGTACTATGACTCGTTCAAGGCGGCGCAGCCCGGGCTCGTGTCGCGCGTCGTGCCCGAGTTCGCGTTCTTCCTCGACTGGTCCGCGGTCAAGCCTCTTTGGCAGCCTGTCGAGGCGGCGCCCGTCTCGGACGCCATCTGGGCTCGTGCCCTGCCCGCCATCCGCAAGAATTTCGACGACTACCAGGAGGAGCTGCGCGTCGAGGCGATCCGCGCCATCCTGTGGGCGACGACCCGCACCGCTCCCGCCTCGCGCGACCCGGCCGACTACCCCGAGTCGACGTACGACCAGGACTGGTTCGAGCGCCCGACCGCCATGTTCTGGGGCGAGAGCCACGCCAACCTGTCGATCTCGTTCCCTCGCCCTTTCCCCGACACGCTGTGGGACCACCAGGCCGTCGGGTGCCGCAAGGAGTGGCTGCGCAAGCACATCGGCGACCACGATGTCGCCATCATGCGCGTCATCCTCGACGCCGTCGGCTGCAAGGAGGCGTCGACGAAATGGTGGCACCTCGGCGGGTTCGACTTGCGCTGGGTCGACTCGCCGTACAAGCAGGCCAAGGAGCGCAACCGCCGCTACAACTACGTCGAACTGGTTCGTCCCGCTTCCCTCTCCCCCATCCTCCAGCGCCTTGTCCCTCCTCTCGCGATTTCCTCGCAACCGTTCGACCCTGACCCGCCGCCTCGCCTCCCGCAGCTCTACGCCCTCAAGCGCCGCGGCCCCAAGGCCTACCAGCTCGCGTCGCGCACCATGGTCCCGCAGATCGAGGTGTGGCAGGACGAGGAGGACGACTCGCTCGAGGGGTGCGAGCTCGAGGACTTTGACGGTTCCGAGGAATGCGGGTGAGCGGGCGCGGCGAGATTTGCTTGTCTAGCAGGGAGGGCAGTCGCTTGGAACGCTTGTTCGTGTCGTCTGTCAACGAGCGAGCGGCGAGGCTGCTGCGAGGCGAGCGAGAGTCGGGAAAAGCGAGTTTGAGAAGGTCGACTTGGCCGCTCGAACAGGATCTCGCCGACGCTCAGGCCTCTCGCGCCCAGCTCTCCTCGTGCACTGCGCATGTACCTCGCTGCCGTTACAGTCTAGATCGTGCGCTGTATCTACGACGCCATCCACTCGCCATCCGCTCCAAGTTTTTGCTCCCTCCCTCCCTGGAACTCGAGAACCCGACGACGTACACGACGAGTTGCGCCTGCGAGCGCGTGCCGCAGATCAAGGTCAGCGCTCACGTTTCGTGGCACTGAGTGCGCCGCCAGCTCTTGTCGACTCGGAGGAGCAGCATGCCCTCGCACGGACCGTCATCGAGCCCGCAACGCCCCATCCTCGACGACCCACAGCGCCCGCACGACATATCGACGTCGCGCCCCCGGCCAGAGGACACGACGCCGCACAGGTCGCACGAACGACACAGACCGCCGAAGAGGAGACGGCGAGGGAAAGAGGACGAGCCGGACGAAGACCCTGGCCGGGTGCTGCTCGAAAGGGGAGCCCGAGCGAAACGGCGACGCACATGCGAGTCGAGGCTTGACGAGCTTGAGGGGCGACAGGACGACGTGGGCGAGGACTGAGAGTGAAAAAGAGAGGCGGAATCGAGGCGGGTCGGGCTGGAAGGTGGGGAAGGCGGACGAGGAGGAGGGGGCGAGGAGGGACCAAGCGCGCAGGCGCCTGAGCCAGGACCGTGGGCGCCTGAGCTTGAGCTAGACAGCGGATTCCTTGCCGAGATGTAGAGGGAAGAGAGAGAAGCAGCAGAGAAAAGCTCGAACGAGCGAGAGAGCCTCTCGAAAAAGGCGGGACGAGCCTCTCGGGAGGCGCAGGAAGGCCGGGCGTGGTCGGGAAGTCGGTCCTTCTTGCTTTGCACGTCGGCGGATGTATCAGGAAGAGGGAGCCGGATACGACCCATGCGGCGGGTTGACCGTGATCGACTTGAGCTGCGTAAACTCGCTGCGAGACTCGTCGAGGATGGTCAGTGGGCCTGAACGATGCTCGAGAGAAGGCGAGTGAGGGGCCGGCTGTGTGTGTCGAGGGAGAGGCGGAATAGGTATGAAGTAGGGAGAAAGGCGAGGAAGGGATAGTGGGAGGAAGAGAGGGGGGGAGGAGAGGGAGGAACGAGACGAAGGGAGAAGGCGACGCACCGGATGCCCTCGGCGCCGTTGAAGCGGCCGTACCCGCTCGCCTTGGTGCCACCGTGCGGCACCTGGCCGTGGTCGTGCACCGTCGCGCCGTTGATGTGGACGGCGCCCGACTCGATCCCGTCGGCGAGCTGCAGGCCGCGGTCGATGTTCTGCGTAAAGACGGCCGCCGACAGGCCGTACTCGTGGTCGTTGGCGAACCGCAGCGCCTGCTCGTCGTCGCGGAACGTGAGGACCGAGAAGACGGGCGCGAACATCTCCTCGCGGTAGATGCGCATGTCGTCCGTCACGTCGCGCAGGAGGCACGGCTGGATGACGTTGCCCTCGCGCTTGTTCTCGCCGGCGACAATCTTGGCACCCTTGGACAGGGCGTCCTCGATGGCGCCCTGGACGCGCTCGGCGCTCGCCGCCGTAAAAAGGCCGCGCAGGGCGGCGCCGTCGTCGGGCGACGCCGACGCGCGAGGAAAGTCGGCCGTGAGGAGCTTGAGGAAGTCGTCGACGATCGACTCGTGCACGATGGCCGTCTGGGTCGCCATGCAGATCTGGCCCTGCGAGAGGAGGACGCGACGACAATGTCAATTCTCGCTCTCGAGTCGACGAGGTCCGTGCGGAAACGTCGAGACGGACCGAGTGGAAGAGGCCGCCGAACTTGATCGCGTTGGCGGCGTGCTTGAGGTCGGCGTCGTCGCACACGATGGCGGGCGCCTTGCCGCCGAGCTCGAGCACGACCGGCTTGAGGTACTTGCCGCACAGCTGCGCGACGATCTGGCCGACGCGGGTCGAGCCGGTAAAGTTGACCTTGCGGATCGCCTCGCTCGCGATCAAAGCCTCGGTGACGGCGGGAGCGTCCTTGGGCGCGACATGAACGACCGAGAGGACGCCGGCAGGGAGGCCGGCCTCGTGCATGACCTCGGCGATGATGGCGTGCGTGCGAGGCGACATCTCGCTCGTCTTCAAGATGGCCGTGTTGCCCGCCATGATGGGCTGGTACACGGACCGCTGCGACAGGGTGACGGGCGCGTTCCCTGCAGGATTCGAGGCGGGAAAGGGTCAGTACGACGAGGTCTGCAGGATCGGGAGAAGGCGGGACGCACAAGGAGCGATGCCGAGCACGACGCCAAAGGGCACACGCTTGATGTAGGCGCGCTGGTGCGACTCGGTCGAGGCGATCTCGCCTCGGAGCGCATTCGAGGCGGCGGCAGCGACCTCCTCGATCCTGCGGGCGGCAACGACGAGGTCAGCTGTGTGCGCTCCTGCCGCCCAGGCTCGCCATCGCCGACGAGGCCCTTGAGAAAGGAGAGAGCGGGACGCACGACTCGATGGCGAGCGTCACGTCGAAGCCGGCCCAGTTGCCCGTCGACGTCGTCTCCTCGGCCTCGACCTGGGCAAACTCGGGCAGGCGGTCCTTGAAGATCTGGGCGGCCTTGAGGAAGATGGCGCGGCGCTCGGCGACCGAGGTCTGTACGGCGTGCGGAGGAGGAGGGAGGGAGAGACGAGGAGGGTCCGAGGGTGGGGAGGAGAGGCGTCGTCAGCTCACGGTCTCGGCACCTGAGAGGGAGAGCGAGGGACGCACCGTCTTCCACGTCTTGAACGCCTTTGCTGCGCTCTCGACGACACGGGGCACGTCGTCTGCCGTGATCGAGTTGACCTTGTGGAGGGAGCGCTCGGGCTTGTGCGGGTCCTTGACGTCGTACGAGGCCGAGGTTGAGGTCCAAGGTTGGCCGTCGAGGTAGCACGGGACCGTGTCGGCGTTGAGGATGGCGGAACTGGTCGTGCGGACGCGGTGCGGCGAAAAGGAGCGAGTTGCGGGGGAGGACGAGGTGGAGGAGGGCGAGACGGGCACGGGCAGTCAACGTTGGGCTCTCGCAGGCTCGAGAGGGAGCAGGTCGGGCTCACGGCATCGTGTGTCGAGCTGGCAGAGTTGAGGTGAGAGAGGGGCGAGGGTGCCGCGGCGAGCGAGCGGGGCAACTTGCTCTCGGCTCGAGCGGCTCGCACGCTCGTCCCCCCACGGCGCTCTCTCGGCTTGCGTGGCAGCGCTTCGGCACCAGCACAAGCGCACGAGAGCGGCTCGAGAAAGGGTCTGCAAAGAGATCGCTCGATTGCCCCTCTACGGCCGCCCTCGCACCACCTGGCTCACGAGCCGCTGCAGCCCGCGGTTGCGCACCTCGAACCCTTGCCGCTGCATCTCCTGCACGACCGCGTCCGCACGCCCAAAGTCGCCCATGCGCACAAAACCGTCGAGCAGCACGTACCACGTGTCGGACGGCGTGCTCCCTCTGCTGCTCGCCTGCTGCGACGCCGCCGGGTCCTCGTCGTCGCCCGCGCTGCTGCTGCTGCTGCTGCTGTTGCTGCTGCTGCTGCTGCTCGACGTCGACGCCTTGGCGAGCGCTGCACGCTCGCGCTGCATCGTCGCAAACAGGCGCAGGGCGAACTCGGTGCCCCACTCGGACTGGAGCGCGAGCGCCGCCGAGAGGAACGCGTTGTACCCGACCCGGTTGAGGCGCAGGCCGCGCTTCTCCATGCGCTGCTTGAGCGTCAGGGCCGCCACCATGTACGGGTGCTGCGCCCTCGAGGCGGCGTCGAGGCTCGACGCGACGCCGGCGGGCGACGGCGGCGGCGCGCCGGCGAGCGGCGTCGACGGGATCGCCGTTAGGAAGCCCTGGATGAGCGACGTGTAGATGACCTCGGTCGCCGGGATGCGCTTGGCCTCCATCTCGTCGAGGAGCTGGACGGCCGCTTCGAGCTGCTCGCGCTTGCCGCCGCTCGTGCTCGACCCGCCCTGGCCCTGGACGAGGTCGTGGATGATGGCGCCGTACGTCGTCGCCGTCGGCTTGACCTTGGCCTGCTCCATTATGGCGATCGTGCGCGCCGTCGCGTCCTTGAGGCCGCCGGCGAGGAGCGTCTGGAGGACCATGGTGAACGTGTAGACGTTGGGCTCGAGGCCGTGCTCGGTGACGAGCTTGAGGACGCGCACGACGGCCGCGAGGTCGGGCTTGGACCCGCGCGTGTACGACTTGAGGAAGCCGTTGACCGTCACGATCGACGGCTCGACGCCCGCCGAGCGCATCTCGTCGAGGAGCGCCTCGGCCTCGAGCCGGCGCCCGTTCGAGAGCAGGCCGACCTGGAGCCGGTTCCACGCCTCCTCCGGCAGGGCGCCGTCGCCGAGCGCGCGCACGACGTCCTTGTCGCGCATCATGACGCGCGCGAGCCGCATCGCGTCGTCGGGCCTGCGCGTCGCAAAGTGGGCGTCGACGCGCTCGAGCCACGCCCAGACGTCGGGCGCCGGGCCCGAGCGCTGCAGCTCGGCGAACGCCGACTCGACGGCTTGGACCTCGCCGCGCGCGGCGTAACCGTGCAGGAGGCCGGTCCAGCACGCGAGGCCGGGCACGAGCGGCGGCGTGCGCGACTGGAGCCACGCCCAGATGGCGTTGGCGCGGTCGGGCGCCTGCGCCTGGACGAACCCGGCGATAAAGGTTGACACGACGGCCTGGTGCAGCGTCGCCGGCGGGAGCGGGCGCGGCACGGCCGGCGCGGCGGCGCCCACCTCGACCTCGCCCTCGCCCTCGCCCTCGACCGACTCGGCGCCGACCTCGTCCGCCTCGAGCGCGCGGTACCGCCTCTCGCTCCCGCTCTTGTCCCACGCGGCCGTGCCCATCCACGCGTCGTCGCCCTCGACCGCCTGCCGCACGTCGCCCCACAGCGCCCACGCGTCGGCGGCGCGGCCCGTGCGGAACAGCTCGCGCGCGGCGGCGAGCACCTCGAGGCCCGGCGCGTGCACGCGCGCGTAGTAGGTCTGCGCGAGCGCGACTTGGCGCATGGTCGCGACGAGGTCGGCGGTGCTGGGCGGGGTGAAAGAGGAGGAGGAGGAAGAGGTGGTGGACGACGAGGTCGAGAGGGCGAAGGACGACGGCGAGACGTGCCGCTCGATGAGGGACTGGATGTGCCCTCGTGCGACGAGCGGCTGGAGGCGGGGCACATGCGAGTCGGCCCATTGGGCGACGAGCGCCGAGAAGGGCTCGCGCTCGGCGGCGGGCGCGCGCGCGCGCAGGAGAGCGCGAGCGACGACGGCGGCGGCGAACAGCGGCGCCGACGGCTTCGAGTCGGCCGCTGTCGTCGCCGAGGACGACGAGGAAAACTCGGCGCTCGGCGAGGTAAAGTTGGCGCCGAGCGAGTCGGGCCCGGTGCGCAGCGCGTGATGCTCGCCCGCCCGGACCGCGTCCCACACCTCGGCGACGCGCTCTGCGCCAACCCACCCGAGTTCGAGCGTCCTCCACGCCCAGTCGCCGACCGGGCGCTTGTCGCGCTCGCCCGCGGCGTGCACGACGAGCTCGCGCACGTCGGCCCAGCGCCACGAGGTGCCCTCGTCGGCGGCGTGCGCCTTGGCGCCGGCGGCGACCGCCTGGACGAGCTTGGTGAGGTCTTCGGGCGCGACGCGCGAGACCTGGCGCGTGTTGCGCAGCGGGAGCCAGCCCTGGTTGAGCGCGCGCAGGAAGTCGCGCCGCTTGCCGACGAGGGCCTGCTGGAGCTCGCCCAGGGCTTTTTGCGACGCGCTCTTGGGGCGACCGGGACGAAGAGGTCGACTGCTGGAGGACGGGGCCGAGCTGCGCATCTCGGAGAGGAGGTCGGAGGCGGATGGGGTGGAGGTGCGACGAGGGGCGGTGCGCGAGGAGGGGGACGAGGGCGACGGCGGCTTGGCGGAGCGCGTGCTTGTGGCAGGCGACCTCGATATAGCAGTCTCGGCGCCTCGCTGCCCGCTTGCGGCCCTGGGCGGTGGTCGAGAGCGCGACGAGGTCGAGTCGAGGCGGACCTTGGAGGACGACGCGGCAGGCTCGGCGGGCGGAGCTCTGGACGGCGCCGGCTTGGCCGAGTAGTGGCGATGGCTGCTGGTGGTGGCCGGGGCGAGCACGTCCAGGACGGCGGGCGAGCGGGATGCTGCCGCGAGCGTCGCCCTCGTCGACGACGAGATGAGGCGCGCCGACATCGTCTGCGAGAGAGGAGAGGGTCAACAGCTCGTTCTCGAGACGAACTGCGAGTAGTGGTGCTCACCGAATGAAGCTTGTCGAGCCGGCTTGGGCGAGCGCGCGGAAGTGGACGAGGGCGACTCGGTGCGAGGCGAACAGCGACTCGGCTCGACTGGCCAGAACTCTCAGGGGAAGCGCTCGCTGTCGCTCATGAGGGCCATAGCTCGGAGGTCGGCGAGCGACTCGGCTCTCGGTCCCGACGCCGCTTGCCTCTCGTCGACCGACAGGATCCTCGAGAACCGCTCCTGCTCGTGTTGCACAGCCCAGCTACTCGCTCCTCTCCTTCATGCCTTGAAGTCCAGCTTGGTGTAGCCCTCGATCTGCAACGCGCGCACCAAGAAGACACGGCCGGCGAGTCAGTGACAGGCTCGAGAGGTCGAACAGGTAGAGAGCGGCGGCGACGCACCCGGTTTGTCCGCAGGAGGTCGAGGTACTTCTCCGTCAACGGGTGGCACACCTCGTAGTGGTTGACGCCTGCATAGTGGAGGAAAGAACGAGGAAAGAGTCAGTCGCGGGCGTGCTCGAACGGTAGGGGAGGGGAGGGAACGCGAGGAGAGAAGGGGACGCACCCTCGGTCCGCCAGCACTTCTGGAGCTCCTCGCGCACGAGCTTGGCCTCCATGACGCCGATCCACGACTGGCGGATCGTCTCCTCGCGCTGCTCCTTGATCTCTGTGGGTCGGAGAGGCGACGGAGGAGAGGGACGACATGGGTAGGGAGGGGAGGGACGAGGCAAGGTCAGTGCACTGTTCAATTTTGCGCGAGGGTCTTGGTAGATGTGACCGGCTGGCAGCGCTTGTGCTGGGAGGTTGGCGAGGTGGACGGGTCGGGGCGGAGCATGGGGAGCGAGGGAGGCGACGCCAGGGCCCGCTCGAGAAGGGCTGCAGTCCCGCAAGCTGCACCGTGTAGCTCCTTGAGAGCATCCGGCGGCCCATGCTCCACCGCAGCACTGGCGTCGGCGCCGTGCGAGTCCCTCGGCCGCGGTTTGGCTCGGAGGAGAGGGGCAGCCTCGCGCCTCGTCCACCGCTCCTGCTGCTGCTTCCGCGCCTCCAAGCCATCCAACGATACAGCACGACCACCCTGGGGCATGCGGTACAGCGGCAGTGGGCGTGGTGGTGGACGAGGTGATGAGGGTGGGCGGGTTGGCGGGGAGGGGGTCGTCGTGCGAGGTGGGAACGCGAGGGGAGGGCGGGACGGACCGAGGAAGTTGTCGGGGAGGGCACTCTGCGGGGCAGGCATCGTTCAAGCGGGCTCGGAGCTGTGGCAGAGCGAGGCGACGAGAGGGTCGCGTCCACCTCTGCCTCGCTCTCGTCGTCGCTCTCTCACATCTCTGCTACGATGAGCTTGAACGAGCAGGCTATCCGCTCGGCTTCGGCCAACCACCCGCGACCCCACAACACGACCTTCGCGTACGGCACCGCCGGCTTCAGGGCAAAGTGCGCCCCCCCCGCTCCCTCCTCCTCCCTGTCGTCGCTCAACCCGCCGCCTCCTCCCTCGCACAGTGCACCCTGACTGACTCGACCAACTCCCACAGTGCCGACACCCTCGACAGCACCATGTTCCGCGTCGGCATCCTCGCCGCTCTCCGCTCAAAGAAGCTCGCAGGCCAGACCATCGGGATCATGGTCACAGCCTCGCACAACCCAGAGCAGGTGCGCCCTTGCCCTCACCGTGTCTCTGTCGACCCTGACGACCCCGCTCACGAAAGTCTCGCCGCCCCGCAGGACAACGGCGTCAAGCTCGTCGACCCGCACGGCGAGATGCTTCACTCGTCGTGGGAGCAGTACGCCACCTTGCTCGCAAACGCCGTCTCGGACGACTCGCTCGTCGCCACCGTCCGCCAGGTCATCCAGGCCACCGGCGTCGACCTCGCCGTCAAGGCCAAGGTCGTCTTTGGCCACGACACGCGACCCTCGTGCCGCTCGCTCGTGCGCGCCGTCGTCGACGGCCTCGCCGCCCTCGACACGGACCAGGTCAACGCCGGCCTCGTCACGACGCCCCAGCTCCACTACCTCGTGCGCTGCCTCAACACCGAGGGCACGCCCGAAGCGTACGGCGAGCCGACCGTCGACGGCTACTACCGCAAGCTCGCGACCGCCTACTCGACCCTCGCCGTGCGTCCTCGTCGCCGTTCTCTCTCTATATACCTCACTCGTCCAGATGAACCTGCGACTGACCTCGCACACCGCCGTTGTGCCTCCCTTGCCCGCACAGACCGGCCGCCACCTCTTGCCCGCCCTCACGGTCGACTGCGCCAACGGCGTCGGCGCGCCCAAGCTCAAGGAGTTCCTTAAGGTCGTCGGCAACGACCTCCTGCCCATCATTGCCGTGCGCGACAGCACGACCCAGGCCGGCCACCTCAACTTTGACTGCGGCGCCGACTACGTCAAGACGCAGCAGCGCGCGCCTCGCAACGTCGAGCTCGTGCCGTGGCAGCGCTACGCCTCGTTCGACGGCGACGCCGACCGCATCGTGTTCTACTACGCCGACGCCGACGGCGTCTTCCACCTGCTCGACGGCGACAAGATTGCCGGCCTCGTCGCGGGCTTCATCATGGACCTCGTCAAGGACGCCGGCCTCGACGACTCGGTCAAGGTCGGCGTCGTCCAGACGGCCTACGCCAACGGTGCGTCGACCAAGTACCTGACCGAGGTCCTCGTGCGTCGCCGGTCCCTCTCTCTCTCTCGCCTTTTCCTCTCGCACGGACCGCCGCACTGACTCGGTCCTCGCTGGCCCGCACACAGGGCGTTCCTGTCACGTGCGTTCCGACGGGCGTCAAGCACCTGCACCACGCCGCCGAGTCGTACGACGTCGGCGTCTACTTTGAGGCCAACGGCCACGGCACGGTCCTGTTCTCGCCCTTGACCCTGTCGACCATCTCGGCGCACTCGCCCTCGTCCCCCTCGGCCTCGGCCGCCCTGTCCAACCTGCGCGCGCTCGTCGACTTGATCAACCAGACGGTCGGCGACGCCATCTCGGACATGCTCCTTGTCGAGACGATCCTCCTACACCGCCAGTGGTCGCCCGCCCAGTGGGACCGCGCCTACTCGGACTACCCGAACCGGCTCGTCAAGGTCCTCGTCGCCGACCGCACCCAGTTCGTCACGAGCGACGCCGAGCGCCGGCTCGACAAGCCCGAGGGCGTCCAGGCCGCCATCGACGACGCCGTCGCCAAGGTCGACGGCGGGAGGAGCTTTGTGCGCCCGAGCGGCACCGAGGACTGTGTGCGCGTGTACGCCGAGGCGGCGACGCGCGACACGGCCGACGGTGCGTCCCCTTTCTCCTCTCGAGCTCGACGACGACCGCTCACTGACCTCTTCCTCCCCCTTCTCGCCCTCGCCCTCGACCCCTCGCCTGCAGAGCTCGCCAACACGGTCGCACGGATCGTGCACGACAAGTTCGGCAAGGGCCCGCAGCCGGCGTCCTTCTTCTAGACGCCCTCCCGCTCGCGCACGCACCCCCTCGACTTTTCCCGCCTCTCGACGAGCCCTCCCTCGTCGACCATTTATCGCTGCAGCAGTCCCGCACGTGCAACACAGACACTTTCGTCCTCGTCATTCCCCTTGAGCAGCGAGAGAGGGCAAGAGAGGCTAGCTCGCTCTCGCGCCTCTGCGGAAAGTCGAACGAAGAAGAGGAAGAACGGCTGCGCTATGTTTACAGACCGGCTGCGGCGGACGACCCACAAGATACGGAAGGGGGGCTCATGCTATAGTACGAGGGGGGAGAGACCAGGAGCGAGAGGGAGGAAGAGGCAATATCGACACGAGGGAAAGGGAGAGACCCGCTCAAAGGCTCGCCTTCTGCGACCCGCTCATGAACCCGCCAAAGTACGCGTTGAGCGCCTCGAAGCCGTCCTGGTTGAGCGGGACCTGGGCGCCGACGTAGCCGTCCGGGCGCACGACGACGATGCCGCCCTGCTCGGTCGAGATGCCCCACTTGGTGTGCAGCGCCGCCTTGGCGTCCTTGCCGACGCGGCGGTCGTAGACGTCGTCCGAGTAGATGTTGTCGCGGTAGATGCGCGCGTTGTACGGCAGGTCCTCGATCTGCGCGAGCGAGAGAGGACGAGGTCAGGATTTCGGCGGTCCGAGCGACGGCGAGAGCGAAGCGAGAGGGCAAGAGCGACTCACGTCCCACTCGGTGTGCGGCGTCGCAAAGATGTACAAAAAGTCGAAGAACGGGTTGTAGTTGGGCTCGCGCTGACCGCGCTCGGGCTCGATGTGGCGCGTGTCGTGCGAGTTGTACACGATGGCCGACTGGACGCCGCTCTTGGGGCGGTACAGGTTGACGAACGACGACGGCGAGTCGATGAACTTGTCGAGGGCGGCGATCTGGGCCTTGGACTTGCCGTACTCGCCGGCGAGGACGTGGATGCTGCAAGCAGAGGGAAGTGGGAAGGTCAGTCTTGGGTTCGTCGCCGACAAGCGCCCTCGAGCGGGCCCGAGAGACAAGAGGGGAGGACAGGACGGACCGGAAGGCGCCGTTCATCTTAACCTCCTGCTGGATGCGGACGAGGTTGGCGTCGATGGCGCGCGTCACCTTGCCCGGGAGGAGGCGCTGGCCGGCGATGAGCTTGCTGCCCTCGGGATTAAAGACGCCCTTCTTCGAGTAGTTCTTGACGAGCTCCGAGTCGGGGAGGGCGTTGAGCGGGTTGGCGAAGTAGATGGCGCCGCAGCCCGACGTGAAGAAGGCGTTCTTCTTGAACGTCTCGATGAAGAGCTCGGGGTCGACGGCGCCGAGGGCCTTGGCCTTGGTCGCGTCGGCCGTGAGCTGGTCCGACTTGGGCGAGCGGCCCGAGAAGAGCGACGAGTAGGCCTTGTCGAACTTGAGGAGCTCCTCGGCGATGCTCTTGCGCTCCTGCTCGTAGGTCGGGAGGAGGGTCGACCGGTCGGCGACGCCCTTCTCGACCATGTTGATCTTCCACGCGAGCGAGTACATGTCGAGCATCGAGATGTTCATGCTGCAGGGCCGCAACGGGGGCGAATGTCAGTGTCGATGGTCCTGAACGTGCTCCTTGAGAAGGTCGCGAGAGAAGGGCAAGGGAGAGCAAGACGCACCCCTGACCGGCCTTGGGCGAGTGCGTGTGGGTCGCGTCGCCGCCAAGGAAGACACGCTCGTCGAGGGTGTAGTTCGAGGCGATGCGCTGGCCGATCTCTGCAAGGTGGCGAGGGAAGATGAGTGACTTGCGAAGGGTGACTAAGGCCGGGACGCGCGAGGGCCGACGAGGCGAGTAGAGAGAGAGAGAGAGAGACGAGGGACGTACGGTAGACAGAGAACCACGCAGTCTTGCCGAACTCGAGCTTGAACGGCTCAAAGATCTTGCGGGCGCGCGACTTGCAGATGTCCTCGGACGCGTCGCGGCCGTAGTGCTTCTGCTTGCCGTCGGGGCCCGCCTCGGCCTGGAGCTGGACGTACAGGCGCACGAGACCCGCCTCGCGCGGGATGACCATGATCGAGCCGTCCGACTTGGAGTGGATCAGGCACTTGGACATGATGTCGGGGAAGTTGGTCTTGACCTCGACGTCCATGACGCCCCAGATGATGTCGGACGCGTCGCCGAGCATGCGGATCTTGCCCTGCCACTCGCCGTCGCCCGGCTGGCCGCCCGAGATGGCGCGACGGACGAGGGACCGTGCGCCGTCGACGCCGAGGAGGTACTTGGCGCGGGCGGTGAACTTCTCCTTGGTGTCGGCGTGGACGAACGAGGCCGAGACAGGGTACGCCTGCGACTCGTCGGTCGAGCACGTCTCGAACTCGTACGGGCGGAACACGCCGCCGTGAGGTGCGGGCGACGCCTTGTCGGCAGGGAGGTGAGCCCGGCGCTGCGAGGGAAAGCGACGTCAGGGCCTGTGGTGACACATATTCTCAAAGAGCTGGGACGTACAGCCTCAATCTCGTCGAGGAAGGAGCGCTCGATGAGGCCCTGGTGGAGGAGGAGCGTGTACGGGTCGCAAACGTCGATGAAGTCGGGGCACGACGGCGCCCTCGAAGTGCGCGCAAGTTGAGCGGTAGGCGACGGGTCCCAGAAAGAGACCTCCTGGACGCTGCGGAAGGGAGTGCATCCGAAGATCAGCAGTTCAAACGAGGCGCAGAAGGAAGAGGAGGAAAAGGGACGCACCGGACGCCCTGGTTGATCATGCGCTTGGCGAGCGACGCCTTGCCCTCCTCCTAAACCCTCATGGCTAACGTACTAAGCTCTCATGGCTAACGTACTAAGCTCTCATGTTTCACGTACTAAGCTCTCATGTTTGAACGCACCTCGAGCGTCCTCGGCTGCAGGCCGTCGGCACGTCCTGCCTCGGTCGTGGTCGGGCGGTTGTCGATGTGGAGGACCTTGAAGCCGTAGGTCGTGAGGCAGACGTTGGCCATGCAGCCAGCGGGACCGGCGCCGACGATGATGACACTGTGGGAGAGGGCGAGGTCAACGCGCGTTCTCGACCCGCTCCAGACGCTGCTCCCGGGCGCAGTCCGAGAGAAAGTCCTCAAAGCCCCGTCGAGCAGCTCAGAAGGAAGAAACCGATGCGTTGGACGGCGCAGCAGGCTCCTCCGCTCGCCGCGAGGTCCGCCTCGTTGACCCTCGCCCGCCTCGACGATGTGAGAGAAACGCGGACGCACTCGTACTCTGCCTCGGGGCGGATCTCAGACTTGGTCGCGTGCGGCATCGTGTGCTGTTGGTCGTCGAGGGAGCGAGAAAAGGCCGGAGGTGGTGGAGGGTGGAGGGCGGTGACGGGCGAGTCGCGCGAGAGAGGCGGTTGCGGGTGTGGCTGTTGCGGTGGGCGGGTGCAGCGGTGCAGCGGCTTGGTGATGGTAGTGAACAGAAGACGCAAGGACGGCGAGGGCGTCGAGGGACGGGCGACGACTGGCAAGCCGTTTCCGAGGTGGGGGCGCCGGCGGCGCTTCGTTTTCGCGGGCGCGCGTGAGCCTCGCCGAGAACTCCGCGCAGCCGATGCGCGCGGCCCTTCTCTTGTCTCAAGCTTTCCGCGTTACTCTCTCCAGCCGCGCCACGCTCTCGACGATGCCGGCCGCTCGGACCCGCTTGTTCCCTCTCCCTCTCGTCGGCTGCGCTCAACCGAGGAATCTCTCTCGGATGCCGCCCGGCGTCTCTCTCTCTCAAAGTCGCGCAGAGGGAATACAACAGCTCGTTGCGGGTCTATGGGCGAGATGCGGAAGGAGGAGGAGCTGAGAAGCGCGAGGGGGCTCGAGCGGCAACTCACGGCCCTCGCGAGTCGACCGGCTTGATGAGGTGCATGACGACCTTGCCGCGCTGCGTGTTGCGGTCCTGCACATGGTGGAACCAGCCCCGTGTCAGTCGGAGAACAACAAGAGGCTTGAGAGAGGGAGAAAGAGAGAGAGCGAGGCGCACCTTCTCGACGCTGATCTCGACCTCGACCTTGTCGAAGACGCCGATCGTGACCTTGTTGCCGTCGGCGTTGGCGGCGGTCACCTCGTACGACTCTGCGTCGTACTCGAGGTCGCGCTTGAACGTGACGAGGCCCTCGAGGCCGAACCTGGGAGGGCGAGGCGCAAGTGCGTGAGCTCGACCTGCTCTTGCTCGAGCGGGGTCGACAAGAGCGAGGAAAGGGCAGACGCACTGCGAGACAAAGACGGCGAGGCCGTTCTTGAACGCCCGGATGACGAACGCCTCGGCGCGCACCTTGCCCTGCGCCTTGTCGGCCTTGTCGGCCTTGCCGACCGCCTCGAGCGCGAGCTTCTGCGCCGCCTCCTCGCGCCTCTGGATCGACAACGCGACGTAGAACTCGATCGAGGCGCGCGCTGCGCCCTGCGCGCCGCGGTGCCGCTTGTTGACGACCTCGAGCGTCTTCTCGACGAACGCGCGCGTCTGGAGCCCGGCGTGCAGCGGCTGGCCCGAGATGGCGGCCGCGAGCTGGCGGTGGACGAGGACGTCGGCGTAGCGGCGGATTGGCGACGTAAAGTGGGTGTAGATGGGCGACGCGAGGCCGTAGTGCGAGAACTGCGACGCCGGGAGCGAGCCCGAGCAGAAGTACTCGGCCGACAGCATGCAGCGCGTCGCCATGATGCGCACGAGCGTGTTGAACGCCGGGAATGTCGGGTCCTGCGAAGCGAGGGAGAGAGGAGGTCAGTCTAGGGCAAGAGAGAGAAAAGGAGGGAAAGAGAGAGAAAGGGAAAGAGCGGCGACGCACCACACACTTGTCGAGCGAGTCGGCGAGCGCGCCCGAGGTCGACACGTCGAGGGTGAAGCCGCGACGCTTCTGGAGGACGTCCTGGAGCACCTCGAAGTTGGTCTTGGGCGGCGGCGCGTGACGACGCAGGACGGCCGTCTGCGGGAACTGCTCGTAGATGCGCTGTCCGACGCTGATGTTGGCGAGGAGCATGAACTCCTCGACGAGCGAGTTGGTCTCGAACATCTCCTTGACCTCGACGTCGACCGGGCCCGTCTGCTCGGACGACTCGAGGTGGATCTTGACCTCGGGCGAGGCGAGGTTGAGGGCGCCGGCCGCCATGCGCTTGGCCCGGAGCTTCTGCGCGATCGAGTTGAGCATGCGGATGCCCTCGGTCAACGGGTCGTTGAGCGACCTGTGCGCAAGAGTGTGTCAGTGAGGGATCGGCGCGAGGAAGGGGGCCGAGGAGGAGGGGACGCACTTGTCGTCCTTGCGGCGCTGCGCCGCCTCGTACGTGAACGCCTCCTTGCTCGCGATGACCGACTTGGTGAACTTGACGTCGACAATGTTGGCGTCCTCGTCCAGCTCCTGCAGAAGGTCGGGGGGAAAGATCAGTCTCTGACTCTCTCCTCCTCGGGGACGCAAGAGCGAGAGCGGGACGCACCCAGAGGACACTGAATGCCAGGCGCTCGACGTAGGGTCGGAGCGAGCACAGGTTGGTGCCGAGGAGGTGCGGCAGCATGTCGATGCGCTTGTCGACGAGGTACACGGTCGTGCCGCGCGACGCCGCCTCGGCGTCCATCGGGTTGTCGGGGTGGACAAAGTGCGAGACGTCGGCGATGTCTGCGGTCGAGAACGGAGAGAGTCAGGGGATGGGCGTGAAGAAAGAGAGAGGAAGAGCGAGGAAGGGAGGACGCACGGACGCCGGCCTGGATGTTGCCGTTCGGGAGCCGCTTGGCGTGCAGGGCGTCGTCGATGTCCTGGCAGCCTGTGAGGGAGAGCAACGCGAGTCAGTCGAGGGCGTAGAAGGCACGCCGGCGGCGTGACGCGAGGCCAGAGGAGGGGGGAGAGAGGGAGAAGGGGACGCACCAGGCGGGTCGATCGAGCAGATGATCTCGTCCCTCAGGTCCACCCGGTTCCTCCACACGCCCTTGGGGTCCTCGCCCGGGCCCTTGCCCGGCACGACCCACTTGTCGCCCTCCTCGGGGAGGCAGCTCGTGATGGCGTTCGAGAACGGCCGGTACGGCACCTCCCACTCCTCGAGCAGGCTCTCGACCTCGCCCTCCTTGCTCCCGACGGCGCCGAGCACGCGCACAAAGTGGCCCTCGGGCAGGCGCGAGCCGGCGCCCCACCGGTCGATCGAGACGAGGAACTTCTGGCCGGCGAGCTGCGCCGCCTGGCGCGTGCGGATCCGGATCGACGGGATGCCGCGCTGCACGGGCGTCGCCGTCACCGTGCGCGACGACGTGGTGGCGAACGCCTCGGCGAGGAGCGACGTGACGCGCAGGGTGCACACGTAGGGCCGCCACGCGCGGCGGAGGATGCCGACGACGCGGCCGGTCGGCTGCACGTCGCGGGTCGAGGCGGGTGCGGACGGGCGCGAGAGGGGAGCAGAGGTGGGTGCAGGTGCGTCGGAGCCGTCCTCGGTCGGGTCGACGGGTGCCTCGGGGTCCTCGTCCTTGGCTGCAGGATTGGGCGCATGCGCAGCGAGTCAGTGCTGGCTCGAGCACGGGACGAGACAGGGAGAGAGAGAGGGAGAGAGACGCACCGTCGGCATCAACGACCTTCTCGTTCGGGCTGCGCCACTCGCTCTCGGGCAGGAGCTCGACGACGACAAGGTCGCCGGCGACGGCGCGGTTCATGGCCTCGCGCGACGGCAGGAGGATGGGCTTTGCGCCACCGCCCGAGTTGACCGTGGCCTGTAGAAGAGAAGAGCCGCAGGTCAGTCCGTACGCTCGCTCGTACCAGGGGGAGAGGGGGAGAAGAGGAAGGGGAGGGACGCACCTCGCCGAGCGGGTTGTACGGGCTCGGGTTGAAGTGGCCCTGGTGGAATTTGCCCGCCTTGACGCCCGCCTGGAGGACGCTGACAGGCAGGTGCTCGTCGTAGAACGGGCCCTCGCCGCCGTCCCTGCCGCCCGCGCCCCGTCCCGACAGGCCCGCGCCCGACACGGCGAGCAGGTCGACGAGCTTCTCCTGCTGTTCTGCGGGGAGCGACTCGACGTAGGCCTTGGTGGTGAGGGTCGTGAGGCCGGCCTTGCGCGCGAGGGCGAGGTTGGCGGCGTCGTCGGTGAGGAGGATGAGCGGGGCGTCGGCGGGCGAGGGCTTGCTCGACGAGGCCGACGTCTTCTGGCGCTTGTTGGCGGCGCTCGACGACAGGATGGCCGAGTAGTACGAGGCGACGTGGCGGATGGCTGCGGGCGACGAGGCGAGGTCAGCTCACCGAGGCGAATCGGGCGGCGAGAGGCAGAGGGGAGGACGGACCGCGGTCGTTGCGGTCGTTGGGCGTCTCGCCCTCGTTGCGCTCGAGGAACGTCTCCTCGATGGCCTCGTTCCAGATGGTCCAGCCGCGCTTCATCTTGGGCTGCGGCGCGGACGAGTTGGCGGCGCCGTCGGGCAGCTCGTAGTCGTCGTCGATGAGGGTGCGGAGCTTGTTGAACAGGGGGAGGCTGCGGTGGCGAACCTCGTCGAGGACGGTTTGGGCGACGAGGAGCGGTGCGGGGAACAAGGGCGAGGCGAGGAGGTCGAATTGGTGGAGGATGGCGTTGGTGTCGGGGAGGACCCACGAGACGCCGGCGGGGAGGGCGGGCGGCTCGGGAAAGTCGGCTGCGGGTCGGAGGTAGTGCTCTCGGACGACTGTTGCGGGGCAAGAGCGAGTCAGTGAGGTGTCGCGAGGGGTCGACGAGAGGCGAGCTCGAGGAGGTGAGGCGGAGGTGAGGCCGAGGGAGGGGGGCAGATGGAGGCGGGACTGACCGCGCATGAGCTTGCCACGAGCCGTCTTGCGGAAGTAGGCATGGTCCTGAGCGCCGCCTTGGCCGTGAGGACGCTTGCGGAGGATGGTGATCTGGGACGGCGGCTGGGTCGAGGTCGAAGTGGACATGGTGGCCCGGGGTTGGGTGTGGCGCGTACTTCGACTTGTGGTGGGTGTACCGGTGCTCGTGTCGGGCAGAGCAGAGCGGTGTACGGTGCAGAGCGAGGGAAGACGGCGCCGAGCTGATGAAGCGGCCGTCCAGGAGAATCGCGCTCGTCTCTCGCGGCTCTTGTGGGCTCGCGCGCAGTCAGAACAGGCCTTTCACGTTCTTGAACAGCACTCTGAGTGGTCGGCGGTGCACTCGAGAGAGGTCGAGATTCGACCCTTTGGCCGACAGCTTCGGGCTCTCGTCTCACCACGCTCGCTCGCACTGCATCGAGCATGGCCACCGACCAGCCACCTGCCATCTTCAAGCTCCCGCCAGAGGTGCGTCCCACTCCCTTGAGCCCGCCGCGTCGTGTCCCTCCTCGCTCACCAGCTCGCTCCCCCTCGCCAGATCCTCGTCCACGCCCTCGCCCAAGCCCCGCCGCAAGCCTGCTCGGCCTTCAGTCGCGCCAACTCGACAGCCCGCGACTCGGTCGACTGCACCGCCCTGTGGCGCGCCCTCCATCGTGCCGCCTACGACCCGCCCCACACCTCCACCCCGGGGCCTCCGTACGACTGGGCCGCCCAGGTCAAGCGTCGCACTCGCGCCGAGGTGCTCATCAGTCGCCTCATCGACGACAGCAAGCCCGTCCCGCTCGACCTCCTCCTCCCCCTCCTCGACACGCTCGTCGACCTCGCCCGCACCCGCCCGCCCGTGCCCGCCGCACCGGCGCCGCCCGACTCGCTCAACGAGCGCTGGCTCGAGCAGTGGGTGCGCACCGCAGGTGCCGCCCTCGTCGCCCTCCACCCGACCCTCAGCGACCCGTCCATCCGCGGCTTTCGCCCGTTGGCCTCGGTGCTCGCCGTACCTTCTCTCGGCACCTCCCCTCCTTCGTCGCCCGCCGCCCTCGTCTACGCCGCCCGCGTCCGCCAACTCGCCGCGCACCTGCACGTCCTCGCGACGCCCGCGCCCATCGTGCGCGCCATCCCGGCGCTCCGCACCGCCGCCAAGGAGATCGTGTACGAGCAGAGCAACTTTCGCCGCGACAGCCTGTACGGCCCGTTCATGAACGACGGCAGCGGCCGCGTCGACTGGCGCAAGGTCGAGGCCCTCGCGAGCGTGTGCGGCGCCAACCTCGCCGAGGCCATCAGCCTCGGCTGGGGCACCGAGGACGACGACGACGGCGGCGGCGGCGGCGGCGGCGAGCAGGACGACGGCGACGAGGGCGGGCCCATCGTGCCGCCGAGCGGCTGGCCATCGACGCGCGCACACTCGGCGGGCCCCGTCCGCACCGACCCGGCCGGCCGCGACTGGGCGGGCGTCACGCACCCGGCCGGCTGGCGCGGCACGTACGCGTTCCTCCACTGGCCGACGTGGCACCACTTTAACCGTCACCGTGACGGCCCGCCGCCGTCGCTCGCGCACGAGCACGAGGCGGTCGGCGACCCGATGGTGCTCCGGCTCGAGCTCTTGCCCGACGGCGAGTGGCCGCCCGAGATCGACCAGCCCGACCTGAGCGCCGAGGGCCTCGCCGAGGAGGACGGCGACGATGACGACGACGAGGACTGGGGCCAGGGAGGGAGCGAGGGCTCGAGCACCGAGGGCAGCAGCGACGACGACGAGCAGCCCTACTTTGCGACGACGGGCGGCGAGCCTGTTGCCGTCGACGATGCAGGGCGCGTCGCGTCGGTCGGGCTGGAGGTGACGCCGCCGACCTCGCTGCCGGACGAGGGCGACGAGCGCGACAAGGGCCGGCTTGACGCGTCGGCCACCACGCTCGACCCGGACGACCCGCCCCTCTCGCCCGAGCAGCTCGCCGCTCTCGCCGCACCGCGTGCCCTCGGGCCGCTCCCTGCTGCGCCCCATACGGCGGCGAGCGCCGCCTACCCTCCTCCCGACCTCACCTTTCGACCTTCCTCTTCTCCCCCTTCCTCCTCTACCGCCTTCCCTCCTCTCGCCTTCCACGGCACCTCTCTCCCTCGTCTCGGCTTCGCCGGCACCTTCACCAACGCGCCCCCGTCAGCGGCGACCCGGCGCCCCTCGGACCGCTCGATCCGCGGCACCGTGTCGCTCACGCCCGAGGGCCACGTCAGGTGGCAGTACGTCATCCGGTACTCGGGCGTCGACCAGTGGGCCATGAACGGCGTCCAGGTCGGCGGGCCAGGGAGCAGGTACGGCGTGCTCGGCGTGTGGACGAGCGCCGACCGGGCCGACGAGGGACCGTGCGGGCCGTTCTGGTGCGTCCCTCGTCGTCTCTTCTTAGCTCTCGCGAGCCGTGCACTGAATTTTATGTCCCTTGATGCAGGTACTGGCCACACCGACCGAATACCGACTCTCTCGACGGCTAGCCTCGTCGTCCGCTCCTGAGCCTCTTCCTCCTTCTCAGAGTCCCTTGTAGCGCCCCGTGCCTCCTCTCGCGAGCTCTCTGTATCGTACACGTTGCCTCGGACAGTCTCTCGGCGAGAGAGCGAGAGCGAGAGAGGAAAGGAGAGAGAGCGAGGGCGAAGTTGAATTCCCGGCGCGACTTCTTCTGACTACGAGAGAGACGGACGGGGCCCACCACTGTACAGCACAGCGCGATACGACATGTTGAGATGCAGGAGAGATGGTGGAGGAAGAGAGGGAGGGAGATGCAGGCGAGGTTTTGGTCGAGGAGGGTGCGTTTGGGAAGGTCGAGGTCGGCGGCGCGCGAGACGGCGACGACGCGCTTAGGCGTCTCCCCACACGGCCTTGGCCGTCGACACGATTAGGGCGAGCTTGTCGATGACCTGCAGGGCACGATGAGCCGTCAGAGAGGCTGTCGAGGCGCGCGAGGCGGGGGAGAGAGAGGGAGAGAGAGGACGCACGTTCTCGCGCGTCACCGGGTTCCCCTCGGCATGGCTGGCCCATCCACACATGCTCGTCGTAACATACATCAGTTTCTGATCACGCAGAGTGAGGCGCGAGGGGAAGAGATGGAGGAAGGATGGAGTGAGCGGGTGACTCACTGCGCCGACAAACAGAGACGCTTGAGGGCCTCCTCGCGGGTCTGGTTCGAGCCCTTGGCGACAATGTCGGCGGCCTCGTTGATGCGCTTGACGAGGTCCTCCTTCTTCTCCATCTGCGGGAACTTGGACGTCACGAGGCCGAGGACGACGGTCTTGTTCTTCGGGAGGTCGGCGAGGGGCTGTCACCGCGACAGAAGGTCAGTCGGCTTGTATACGAGGAGAGAAGAGGGAGGATAGGGCCGGGAGGGGCGCGAGGAGGAGAAAGAGAGGGGGGAGGAGGGGGACGACGACGACGGCGAGCAGGACGCACCTCGAAGCCGCCGGCGCGCTCAGTGTCGTACTCGAGGTAGTACACGTTGGCGTTGAGCTCGTTGAAGAGCTTCTTCGAGATGTGCTCGTAGCCGCCCTCGGAAAAGTGCATGCCGTCCTTCTGCGCGCCGCTCGGTCCTCGAGGTCAGTGACGGCGCTCTCGAAAGAGTCCCTCGAGAGGCACGAGAGAGGGACGCACAAAGTTGCCGCGGCACAGGTGCAGGCCGATGACCATGTCGGACGGGACGTCGCGCACGCAGTCGTTGTAGAGCTTGATGTACTGGTCGAGGACGACGGCCGGGTCCTGGCCCTCGGCCTTCATGCCCTCGAGCATCGACGTGGCACACTGTGCGCAAGAGGCGTGCGTCAGTCTCGGGCGCGAATCCGAGAGAGAGGAAGAGGGACGCACAAAGTAGGCGAGGAGCGGGTCGTCAAACTGGACGTTGCGGCAGCCGGCGTCGTACAGGTCGGCGAGCTCCTCGCGGTACGCCTTGGCGAGGTCCGCAAAGTACTCGACCTCGGACGGGTAGATGTCCTTGTTGTAGGCGTGCTCGCCGTGGCGGAGGTGGTACCACCTGCAGGAGCGATGTTGGGCGTGAGCGGCGCGCACAGAGGGCAAGAGAGGCAAAGGGGGACGCACTCGGGAGCGGCGAGGGTGATCTTGACGTTCTTGACCTCCTCGGGCTTGACGAGCGACGCGGTGTACTCGAACTCGGGGCTGAACGAGAACGAGAGGGTCAGTGCGGGGCCGACGGGGTCGACGAGAGCGACGCCGAGAGATAGGCTCGACGCACCGGTACATGGGCTTGTTGCGGATGAGCTTGCCAGTGCAGATCATCGTGTCGCCCGGGCGCGAGGCGTGCGACTGCGGGTCGGGGACGAAGAGGGTCAGGACGGCCGCCTGGACAAGTCGGGCCGCCGCAGCGAGCGAGAGAGCGTACCTCGAAAAAAGCCTTGATGTCGGGAACGTACCTGCACACCAGAGAGGGAGCGTCAGTGAGGGCGCGCGCCGGTCGAGAGAGAAGGAGTGGGACGTACATCTTGAAGAGCTCGCGACCCGGGTTCTGGATGACCTCCATACCCTGCAAGTTGTTGTGGAACCCATCCCAGACTGCAAGGGCGGGACAAGGCGTCAGGATTGTGTCGCACCGAGAGGAAAGGAAAGGAGGACGGACACATGTGGCGGCGGAACTCGCCGTCGGTGACGGCCTTGATGCCGACGTCGAGCTGACGCTTGACCTCGTCCTTGATGGCCTGGTCCTCGACGGCCTTGAGCTCCTCACGGGTGCACTTGCCCTCGTGGAACTCGTTGCGCTTGGCGAGGAGCGCGTCGGGGCCTGCGCACGAGACGAGGGTCAGTTGCGTCGAGCGCGGGGCGGACACGGTGAGAGAAATGGGGGACGCACGCTTGAGCGAGCCGATGTGGTCGGCGCGGAAAGGCGGGCAGCAAGGAGGGGCAGCGGAAGCGGCGGCCATGGTCTGTAGTCGGTCGAGGGCGAGGTCGAAGCGGTGAATTGGGGACGGGCGAGAGGAGGGTGTCGGGTCGTCGGCAAGAGGGAGGGCGGTTGTTGGACAGTTTCGAGAAGATTGGGCGGAGCAGGCAAGGGCTTCGAGGTCAGCTCGCTGAACCCGTGAGGTTGTCGGCCGAGGTGGAGGAGGAAAAAAAGGGAGCGAGGGAGAGGTGGGCCGAGGTGCTGGAGTGCACGCAAGGGTCGAGGTTGCTCCTTTAGGGCAAAGAAGAGCTGGACTCACGAGCTAGGTGGTGTGGTGGAGGAGGAAAGAGTTGGGGAGGAGGAGCGACAGTCGATTCCGGTGCTTTCGCCTCTCCACCTCGCACACCTCGCTCTGCGGTCGCCACTGCTGGCTGGATCTGCTCACGGATGTCGCACCGCCATCGTGCAGGCCTCGCACCGGCACACTCGCCTTGCGCCTCCTTCGCCCTTCCCCTCATCACCAGCGGCGGCCATCGACTCGAAACCTGTGTGGACACGGAGCCTGGGCAGGTGGGCAGTCGACGAGGCGCGTACGACAGCTCCCAGGGAGCCTGTCGAAGCCGTGCAGACGGTGCACGATCTCTGCTCGACGCGGGAGTGCTGCCACAGGGTGCTCGTCCTCCCTCTCCCGCTCGCCGCACCTCGGCACCCTCACTCGAGCACGCGATCCGCCGTCCCGATCCTCCTCAGTGATCGGTGTGAGCTGTTCGAGCGCGCGCACTGCAGCGGTGCTCCTCGCGTCCTCCGTACCCGGCTCTCTCGCGTCGCTCGCGCACTTCCTGGTCATGTCGAGCGCTCGCCGGTGACGGCCTGGCAGCAGCGACCATCGCCGAGCCTCTCTGTGCTTCTGCTGCGTCTTGCGCCGTTGTCGGCCGTCGACGAGCGCGTCGGTACGGGGCGGGTCGTACCCACTTGCGCGACCTGCCTGTCCAGGGGCGGCCCGACCGAGCCTGCGCTCGATGTGCTCTCGCTCGCCCGCATTCTCGAGCAAGCGACGAGCTGGCTCGAGGCTACGGCAGACGCTCGCGGCGCTGGTCGTCGCGTGTCGACGTCGAGCGACTGAGGAGGCTGAAGCGGCCGTGCGCGGCGGGATTTGGTCCGAGCGAGACGAGTCTAGGGGGGCAGGAAGCGCCGAGAGAGTACGAGAGAGCGAGTAGCACGAGCAACGAAAGCTTGAGAGTGGCAGATGGAGCGGTCGACGCGTGCTTGTGGTTCGTCGAGGAAGGCCGGGAATCCCCTGTGAGCGAGTCGCGCCTCGTCCGCGCCCTCGACCCACTGTGCGCCCGCCGTGCCCCTGCTGCGCGCGATGCAGTCCCACGACGCTCCCTTCCAGACTGGCAGTGCCTCGCACTCGCCCCTGCACGCCGCCCCGAGCCCAGCCTCGCCCACCTTGCCCGACGCGACCGCCGCGACCTCGTCTCACCACCACCACCCGCCTGCGGCCCGCATGGACCGCCTCTCGAGGTCCTACAGCGGCTCGCACAGCCCAGCCACGCCCCTCGCCGCCCCCTACATCCCCGCGCCAGCCGCCGACAACGCGCGGCCCGATCGAGAAGACGCGTCGGGCTCGCCCGCCCTCTCGCGCCATGGGTCCGCCAGCACCGCGTCCGACATCCACACGGCCATGAGCAGGGGCACCAGCTCGAACGGCGCACCGCCCAGGGTCGACAAGGGCAAGGGCGTCGACCGCGACGGTCCCGTTGGCCAGGGCGATGCTGTCGACGACTCGGACGAGCAACAACGGCGCGTCGAACGCGTCCTGCAACGAGCAGAAGCCTCCAGGGTCTGTCCTCGTCTCTCCCCTCTCGCTCGCCGGCCAACACAGGCAGCTTACGAGTCTCCCTCCCCCCCTCTGCCGACCTGCTCTCGTTGATCTTGAAGTGGCTCTGAGATCTCGTCCTCGGGCGGTTAGAGGTAGACGTACTGCTAGTGGCTGCACAA